ATATTAGATCAGATGATACTCAGTACTCAAGTAGCCTTCTAATCAGATACTTTTTTACCCTTACTTGAGTAATAAATCCTATATCAGGAAAATATTGTCCTCAGTTTATGTCCTTCCAGTGAGCTTTGCAGATGTGGGAAAATGTCATCAGGCAGTAATCGTTGTTAAATTCATAATTATTCTCGGAGAGAGACCAACTCTTATCTGCCCCTGGGAGCCCCATAATGCATAACGTCATTTCAACATGGGGGTGTCCGCGACACGGTTTATATGCAGGTAGTGGCGCTGCGGCTGCTTTATATAGCGACTCGTTGCATTCTCCCTCAACCCAAATCCTCGGATCACGCATTTTAGCTAAAACGCTAACGTTAGCTTGCCTTGCGTTGACTGTAGAGTTGTGGGTGATGGTCACGCAGATGTGTCATGAGATTTGAAGCGTTGCTGCCTTTCACAGACTCTTTTTCTGCACGTGCTGCAAACAGGATAGCCGTCTTCTATCAGCTGTCCCGCGGCATTCTTCAGATATCCAACAGATGCCCGTACTTCCCACTTTGTCTTCTTTGAGGGATAAAAAATGTCCTCCTGAGCGCTGCCGTCTCCTCCTTCGGCCATTATTTCAGCTTTAGCTTCAAGAAAGTTTTGGTTGTAAACAAAGCGCGCATGTGCCGCCGGCAACTTCAGCCGATGATACGGTGGCTGGTAAGGGTCACAGCGCCTACACCGCAACCACGGTAATCCACCGATATAATATAGTTTTTTTTTTTAAACAAGACGGTTATTATTATTGTCAACTTTTTTACGGGGTTTACCGCTACACCGGTTACCGTGGCAACCCTACCTGATCGGTCTGCTTTGATCTATTTTGAAAACTCCGATCAAAACCGATAGGGGCGCTATCGGCCGATTGGGATCTAATGCCGATCCATCGGTGCATCCCTATAAAACATACTTGAAACATATTGATAGCATCCCTTCGCTTTTGAGACGGGAACAAAACATTGAATTTTGCTTCCAGTGGAAAAGAAAACTATCCATTACAATGGCGGCTAAGTAGGTTTCACTGCTGTTTCGCAACGTTTTCACATCCAGCAGAAAGCCGGGGTTACCCAGTTGAAATGGTATTACCGGTAATAGAAAAATTGACAGCATTTGTTTGCTGGTTAAGGTTTTGTATCAAACTTATTTTCTTACACATTAGAATAAATCAGCTTAATATTAGGTGGAGATACATTTGTATATTTGTTTCGTTTTCTGAAAATAGACAAAAGGAGAGAAAAGAGTAAAAAAAACAAAATGCAACAAGAAAAATTGCCTTTTGAGGTAATTTTGCAGCACAGAAGATTGATTCTTTTGTAATTTGCTAAATCACAACAAATGCTAAATATCTTTTTAACCTCTGTTGGGTTTTGATTAATCTGTTTAGCTGGAGTTTAAACATGTCTAATCCCTGTGCTGCCCATACTTTATGTTGACGACAACTAAAACCTCACAAAGGTGAGTATAAACAAACTTGGTAAAATACAAAAAAAAAAGCATGCAAAGCTACTTACAGCACATTCTGTGAGGCCCCGAGCAGCAGCAGCTTTTTAACAATGGCTGCATGTCCGTTCCTCACTGCATCATGGAGCGGCGAGTCATTTTCATAACCAGGCGTGTTCAATAAAGCTCCTCCTGATGCCAGCACCTCCACAACTAGCAGGTGGCCAAGGTTACATGCTTCATGCTGAAAGGAAAAGAAAAAGTCACTCTACTGATCTGAGATATGTTCAATAGAAAACCTCTTAACAATAAATTGTATCAACATACGATCATATTGTTTTAATTCTCAGCTTGCAACTTAAGGGACCAAAGTTGCTAGAAGAAACGGCTTCATGTGCCTTTTAATAAACATAAGTTTAAGTTTACGTCAATGTGAGTTAAAAACCAAAAAATTACTTTTGAATATTAGCAAAAAAAAAACTGTCTGTTGCTTAAACTATCTAGAAACTGTAACTTCCCTTCCATTCTGTTCCTACACACCAACTGTTTTAGGTAAAGTTGGGATGCGTCCTAGTGCTGACCATCTGTCACAAACAAGTGTTTGTTTCACACGCAGGAATCACAATCCACGGATTTGCAGAGTGCACATTAAAATCTCTTATTGGTCGCTTAAGGCTCGACAAACACTGTTACAGAAGACACGTGTAAACTCAAATGATCTCCGTAAACTAATAAAGCCGAGTAGGTAGAATGGTGCCGAAAGCGGAGCGCTGGTAAAGATGCACCAGGGAGTTTTAGATGAATGCAGCGTCTCAATTTCATCGGCGTCCAGGGTCACGACGGTACGTCCAAGCAGTCAAAGAAGAAACATTTCAATCACTCTGCTCAGAGGGAGAATTTTAAAAGATTATCAACAAACGAGTTTGTGTGAAGGTTAGGGATGGGTACCTTTGACATTTGAATCGATCCGGTACTAATTCCCGGTACCTACGAATCGATACCGGTACTTAACGGTACCAATTTTCGATACTTTTGAGTGTTTATTATTTTTAATTCTCTTTTATAATTAAATATATATTTTTCTCAATATATAACCATATTTGATAAATATCACGATAAATAACATACAACTGTTAGTATTTTAACATCGTCCTTGTAGTTTTATAAGCTGATAATTAAACTGAAGCAAACATCTTTACTGTGAACTAAACTTACTGTGTATCTTCATTCCTTTTACCGTCCTTTTTCAATTGATTTTTCCTACTGGGAAGTTAGAATTTCCGAGGAGAAAGCGAACGCACCATTAGCTGATTACAATGGTGGCATTGGAAGCTAACATATCAAGCTAACGTTGTCTTAAACAGTTTATTTTACTGCTGGAGCAGATTTAAACGATGATGCCTCACACTTAAATCGTTGTCACTGGTTTCATCTTCACCCAATCACCCGTCGCATTTAGTAAAGTGAAGCCAAACTTTAGAGCGCGTTCATGTTCTTCTAGTCGGAATTTCGGAGTTCCGAGGAGAAAGCGAACGCACCATTAGTGAAACGGACGCTAACAAATCAAGCTAACATTATCTTAAACATTTTATTTACCTACTGGAGCAGATTAAGATGAGGATGTCTTACTTAGATCGTTGTCGCTGGTTTCATCAGCACCCAGTTACCCATCACATTTAGTGAAATGGACCCAAGCTTTAGCTGTCGTTCTTTCTACCACAGGGTTTCCCTTACCGCCACGCCTACAAGATCCCAAGTTTTATTTATTTTTTTTATTTATTTTTTTTTTTGCGCTGTTTCCCGAAGAAGCAGCGGGAACTACTATGTTGTCGCTTGTGATCACAGCCGGCGGGCAGTAAGAAGAAAGGAGCAGGCAGGGCAAGGTGAAGTTACAGCATTACTGAGTTTAAAATTAGAAAGGTAGCAGTGGATATAATGCTTTTTGGTTTACATGTTTCAGTAGCATTAAGATAAATGAGTGTTGACGATCTTGACAGGGTTTCTTCCAGTGCTTATTAGGCCAGATTTTCCTCCCCCCGCCAGGCTAAGCATCACTTATTCATGTAAAATGTATTTATTTTTTTCATGTCTGACTTTAACCGCATCTAATACTGTATTACGATGTGAGCGCAACAGCGACAACTTAAGATCGATGTGTGAGCAGCCTGAGAGGTCGGTTGGTTTCATCTGAACCCTTAAAACCTCCAGCAGGCTACGCTGCACTATTGACGTGTTAGCAACTTAGCGACGTGACATGTCTCGGAGAAAGCGTAAAAACACGTTGGACGCTTCTTCTGAAGCGGGAAAATAACACCTCTTCTTAAGCAGAGCACAATGTCGCCTCAGCTCGTTCACCCTCTGCCGAGCCGGACTGAGCTCGATAACATTGACCCAGCACAGCCACTGGGTCGTTGGAGCTGCCCCGTGACTGCCTGATGGAAAACCAGCGGGTTTCATCAGACTCGTAAAGATTCTTGTTTTTGCTGGGGACCCCTGTATTTTACCGCTCCTGCAGTCTTCCCCTATTAAAATTTTACGATTCTGTAAATTCCGTGTATCAATAGAAAAATCTCTGTCTCTGCCAGCTGCAGTAAATGTAGTTTCCAAATAATAAGAGGTGCATTCATCTGTGTATCTCTTTTGATCCGCATTAGTGATATTCTCAGCACCAGAACAGTGAAGCAAAGAAAGATTCCTGAGTTTGTTAGTAATTTTATTCATTAGGTTCATCTAACCTGTTCTATTTTTCTCTGAAATGAGATCAAATCAGAGCTGCTATGGGTTGTCTCCAATCTGCACTGGAAATTTTTACTTTATTTAGAGACATGTCATAATTTCTCCCCAAGCGCCCCCCCCCCCCCCCCCCCCCCCAAACCAACAACCCACCCCACCCCCCGCCACAGCTGGAAAAATTCCTAGGGGAAACACTGTACCATGCTGCTCTGTTTACAACTGGTTCGCAGCGACCGACAACATAACGCTCTTGCGCATGCGCAGCTGTCTAGGCAAGTTCTCGTTGTGAAGGACGGGTACCGAAACGAGGCACCGTTTCAAATGAAGTGAATCGGTGCTCGGTCAGTACTGTGGAATTCGGTCGGTACCTTAAAAAGTACCGAATTTGGTACCCATCCCTAGTGAAGGTCACATAAAGCGCTGTAATAGAGTTAAGAGACCAAATTTTCTGAATATGGAGGCAGAAATGAACTTGTACTTCATCAGCTCATTTGATGGTACAGCTTTTAATACTTGCCTTAAATTTAATGGAAAAAATACATAATTTAGCTAAAAATCAATACTTTGCTTTAGGGATGCAACAATACCACTTTTTTCCTAACTGACAGGATATCGATACTTGGATATGAGTACTCGCCAATACTGATTACCGATACAGATACCACACAATAAAAAGCAATGAATTGGAATACAGGTTTTATTTTCATCTCTGCTTTCAACTGGAAAAGACTGTGAGGTAGATAAAAATAAAATGTATTAATAGAAATGATCGCTAAACTAAAATATTAGGTGAACAGAAATGACAAGTTACAGTGAAGCCACTTTCAGGCAACAGCGTTGAATTTGGTTCCTGATATCGGTTAACTTTTACTGATACTGGTATCGGTGTTGGGCCGATACCGATACCAGTATCGGTGCATTCCTACTTTGCTTTACTTTGGCTGCAGCTTAATATTCTGTTTAAGTCTAGTTACGTATTTAGTGATATCTAGTGGCAAAGTTGTTGATTGCAAAGAAATCTTAACATTTCTTTATGATGGGTATTAAAAGTTAAATACCTCATTAGAGACTATGTTGCAATAATAAAAAAAACAAAACCAGACAATGACATAGAAAAGACCAAGTTTGGAATTAAATATTTTAAAAGATTTGAAATCATGTTTATGTTGGTTTTCCTAAGAAAATAAGACAATTTATTGGGACGATTAAACCAAAAAGTTTGATAACATCTCTAGAAAAGGAGAAAAATCACTGAACAAGCCATAAAACGTGTTACACCTGATACGTTTTACTAAACTCTCTCTCAAAAAAAAAAAGGACATGCTAAAAAAAACCAAAACTTGGAAAATTGCGGCATGGGGCAGCGACGACCAGTCACCCTCCTCCAGAGGAGGTGGTAGGTATCAAACCATCTAAAAAGTCTGCCACACTAGAAACTTGTTTAGCTAAAATGCCAGTAAGTTTAACCTGATTAACAAAATAACGAAACAGTACAAAAAACAAATGTACTCTAAACAAGTCTTGCTTTGTTGACAAAATATTGTGTTTATTCCAAACAAATCTCTTACCAAAGGTGTCCACCCAGCATTGTCCTTCAGGTTGGGGTCAGCTCCCTGGTCCAGCAGCTTCTTGACAGCCTCTACATCTCCCTGTAGGGCGGAAGGAAAACAACAAAGCCGTTGTGAAAACCACGGACCTGTAAAGTCGAGTCGTCAAACACAGGAGCTGATCCTAGTGAACCGAGGCCCCATGGTTTATTAATCAGGTTCCACAGCGAGCCATTGATCACTTTGTCGGGGATGCAGACGCGGATTACGACTGTGTTCACAAGGATTACAGAGAAGCAGAACACAGCTGCCTTATCAGAGAACTAATTTCAAACAGGTTTCTAATAATATCGATGTAATTTGAAAGAAAGTAGACAAAAATCCACAGAAGTTGCTATGCTGTTTGCATTTTAAATAGCACAGATATCAATCTACTGAACGTATGAAAGTAAACAAGTCATTAATGATCGGAAAGCTCTTGACCTTTATTGCAGCCAGATGCAGTGGAGTCTCTCCCTTGTGGTTCTTCTTCATAAACGCCGGACTGCCAGAGTTCAGCCGTCCGACAGATGATCCCGGACTACGTGGAGATTTGCCCTGGCTTTTTGTCAAAGCAAGTGCTAAAACGGAGGGACTGCTCCTTAACTCTTTAGAGACTGTTATGCTCCTATCACTCCCGGGGCTCGGTGGGGATAAACACTCGATGACAGCTGGAGATATGCGACCCAGTGATTTTCTTCCTCGGCCCGGAGAAGCCCTCGGCCTTTTTGGTGTACTCTCCAACGAGCACTTGTTCTCCTCCGCTCTGGTTCTTTTTGAAGAAAATACAATTTCCTGTTTATCAGTACTGTCACTTGGATTGGATTCATTTGCAGGTGGCTTTGGACCAGGCGGAGTTTGGTAATTTGATGCATTTATCTCACCTTCTGAGAGGCGGTCTCTAACTGTGCTGCTGGCAGAGCTGGGCTCATTTAAATTACCCTGTGGCGCTTCAAGCTGAGGCTCATCAAAGGTGACAGGAGAGCTTAGGAAAGACACCCTTTTAGTGGACGTTCTTACTCCATCAGTACCGGGATGCTCCTGTCTGGATGGAGTAGGTTCTCCTTCTGTAATTCCCCACTGCTGGTTTATGGCCTCCAGCCTATTTTTCTTCCTTTTCTGATTAGTCTGTTTACACGCGGTCCTCGTGGCGGCTCGCGCGCGGTTGCTAGGAGCAGCCTTCTTAGACTTTTTCTGTCCCTTTTTGTTTGCATTGCTGTCTTTTTGAGGAGAAGCAGGAGACGAGTCTTGAGAGGACGAACTAAAATTAAAAACGGACAGGTTTGCGCTCTGAGCAGCACTGGAGCGCAGCTGTGCCGCGGCTACCTCAGAAGGCTTCTCCACAATGCAGCGCACCTTTCGACTGCGAGGACTGAACCAAATCTTAAAGTTCTTCTGTTTCACAACAGCATTCTCAGGCGGTGTTTGGGCCTCAGACGAATCTGCAATGAATTATAAAAAATAAAAAACACAACCAACAAACATTTATTAACAAAGAAACTCTTCCTTGAGTGAGTAATATTATATTTAGGTACAAAATGTTCTTATGGAAGCTCTTTATGATTATAACACATTTGTGTTGCCCAAGTACATAAAAAATCTAAACAACCATTTCCCCTTAAATGTGCACAAACCAATGTAGGTTTGCAGATATTTGGCTATGGCTATTAGGGCTGTACTGGTACACGTTTTCATATTCTGATTTTTCAGGGAGGAATATTTGTTATGGAAATGACCAACTTTGTTTTCTCGCTTTACCGAAAATAAACTAAACATGAAATTAAAACCAACTTACATACCAAACAGGGATTTAGGCGTACCATAACACTCCCAATTGCTACGGCGTGATGAAACGTGTCCATGATGTAAAGTTTTGCATGCAAAGCTTCAATTTACCGAGCTGTTTGGTTGGATTGAGCAGGGACTCTAAATCACAGAAGATCTCCACGATGCTGCTCAGCTGCCTGTTGATTTGGATGTCCTTCACCCACGCAGGGCTGTGACACACCACGCAGCCATCTCCTGCCCGGGGGCCAGCACAAGACCTGAGCAATAAACCTTTCTTAGATTGGAGTCAGCCTTAGAGTTCAGTTCAAAGAAATACAGCTATCGATCCACCCTCTAAGTAGCTTCAGACATGAAGACAGGGAACACGGGCGGTACTTTACACCTTGAAGGACTTTAATTGCCCTCAGAAGTGTAAACTAAGTCTTTGTCATTGTTTTCATCAGGAGGGAAAAACAATTTTTGGGAAATAAATAATTTGGCATGCATTGTGAGGAGAGGCAAAAGTACTCCCACAGTGGCCATTTTGATGCGTCATAGCCAGAATAGCACACTGTTGGGATTTAAATATTATTTAGGCATGCCAGTTTGCCGTGCCACTAAACCAGCATGTGCACTTTCACAATCTTGGCAGAAACACATTTAAATAGAATGAAGCAATCATCATCATCATTAGCTACACCTGTGTACGGCAAATAAAAATTCCTGCCACCGCGCACGGCTGCCTGTAATGAGCGCATCACAGCAGAACGCAGGGTGGTTACATTACCTGCACAGCATATGCTCACACATGCCCAGACAGACCGGATCCTTCATCAAATTAGAGCTGCAAGAGAGACGAAGGACTTAGAAATCAGGACTGTCTTGGTTAAATAGTAAATAATCACATTGCAGCGTGACATGAAAAACTGTGTGAATAGATGTTATTTTACTTAAAGAGCAAGTCACCCCCAAATAAACTTTTTTTCTGATAAACTATATAAATGTGTCTAACCCCCAAATTCCACTACCTCCGCTCCGCTCCGGTCCGCCCACGCCTTCCACAGCCGCTCGCTTCCGAACTCAATTTTTACTGGTACCCGCTCTACAACGGCTCCGCTCCGGTGCGGAGACCTGAGGGGGGCAAACAAGCATGCGCGGGATTTTCGAGATCTTGCGATACAGTCCGAGCAATAAACGCGGAAGTTAGATCCAAACACCCGTTGTGTGGGAGAAGCATCGGCATGAACTGTTTAATCTGCCCATCATTTGTGTTGAGAGATCAGCAGTGTTTGGATCAACAAAGTGTGACTACTTTGATAGTAGAAACTGTATTTATGGCTTACTTTTGTGAATTTAAACTTCAGCCGCCATTGATAGTTGTTAAAAGTTGTTAAACCTGTGCATATGAAACAAAAAACGCCTTTTGTTTATCGATTTATTGTGAAAAATGGAAGTTGTGCTTGCTCCCTTTCCTGTTGGACGGTTGTGATTTCTGTCCATTGACTGCGGAGGTGCTCCGGCGTCCGGCGAAAATAGGATCGATTCTATTTTTGCCGGACGCCGGAACAGAGGGCGGCGCACGGCGCCGCACTGCCGGAGCTCGGCCGCAGTAGTGGAATTGCTCTGATGGACTAGAACGGGACCGATTTTGCTCCGGCGTTCGTGTCGGAGCAGAGGTACTGGAATTTGGGGGTAATCGTGCTGCAGACACATGTAGTCAATAGTTTTGCACTTTAGTGCATTTTAGTTAAAATTTTAATTGTTTGCTTAAAACTGTCAGTGTTGTGCCGCTGTCAGGTAAAAACTCTGCGTGGCATTTGAATTTAAATCTGCCATCGCTATTGATCACTGGACCTCAGGGACCTGCTGGGGGTGTAGGCACTAAGAAGATCACCAATGTAAGATGGTGCTTGTCCATGTAAGGCCCTATAGACCAGAACCAGGATCTTGAAATGAACCCTGAAGTTGACTGGCAGCCAGTGAAGCTGGAGGAGAAGCGGGGTGATGTGGGTGTGTTTGGAGGTCTTGGTCAGAAGCCGAGCACAGGAATTCTGAACCACCTGTAGACGGTTCAGGGAGGTTCTGCTCAGACACGTGAAAAGAGAGTTACAGTAGTCTAAGCGTGAGAAGATGAAGGTGTGGAGAACTGTCTCAAGTTCAGAGCGAGACAGAATGGGACTCAGCAATGTTCCTGAGATGGAAGAAGGAAGAGCGAACAAGAGAACGGACATGAGAATCCAGGGTGAGAGCTAGGTCAAAGGTCACACCAAGATTCCTGACAGAGGGTTTGGTGTGTGAAGCAAGCTGACCAAGAGAGTTTCTGACTTTGGGAACCAGCTTGTCTGGGGCACAGATGAGGATCTCAGTCTTATCTTCATTCAGCTGTAGAAAGCTCCCAGCCATCCAGGTTTTGATAGAGTCTAAGCAGGTGTGTAACAGCTGCAGCTTAGACATCTCATGGGGCTTAAAGGAGATGTACAGCTGGATGTCATCTGCATAAACAAGAACTACAAAGGCGGAGCTGCACCATAACATGGAGCTACACCAGAGTCAGCCCCGCCCATTCACGCAAACTCGGCCTAGCCCACTGACGTCTTCTGTTTTTGTTTTTTAACTTTATCACAAACTAACCTGACCCACATGAATTACGGCTGTTACTAGTTTACAATTGTTAATGCTATGTTCTATGCTCCAATTAAACAAGATAAATAAAACTTGCTACATGACAAAGCCTGAATATATCCAGAAACAAAAGGGTTTCTTGTAGCAAATATCTGCCCACAGCCGCTCCAACAAAAGCGGCCAACCTTTACAAAAACTGTTCAATTAACCTCTCAACTCCATCCTCAATCTTGCATTTTTGATTATATTAGCTATAACACCCTCTTTGGTTCCAGAATGCTATCAAGTCTGACAACTGGAATTGGACTGACTCTGATGGAATGGGCGAGGCTGACTCTGGTGCAGCTCCGCCTTTGTGATTCTGCAGCGAGCACCACTTGGAATTGGAAGCAACTTTTTAAAAACAAATTTAGGTGTGAAACCTGCGCACAGCCTGCCCTGTCAGAACCAGATCAGTTCCTGCAGTGAACCCTACTCCCTGGTTTAGTTACAGCCTTCGCAGCCTGAAGCACCAATGCAGAAAAATTGAGCGTTTGTAGAAGAAAGCCCGTCTCCAAGTCCATCTGCTGCACCTAAAGGATCTTCTGACATCCTTTAACTCTGCAGTCAGAGACGCGAGTTTACTATTTCTCCAACCTCGTGTCCCAGAGCAAAGGAAACCCCAAGGTGCTGTTTAACACCATCAGCAGCATCGTCTCTCCTGCCTCTCCTACAGCCTCCATCCACTCTGTTGCAGACTGTGAGAACTTTCTGTCTTTCTTTGTGGACAAAGTCAATAAGGTTAGATCTAGCATCTCTCCTTCAGCCTTATCGCTGCCTCTCCCGACTCCAACCAGGCCCATCATCCTAGATAGCTTTGCTCCTGTTTCTTTGCCTGAGTTAACCAAACTAGTTAACTCTATGAAGACCTCTGCATGCCCCCTCGACATCTTACCCTCATCTTTGTTTAAAAGTACTTTTCAGTCCATCGGTCCCAGCGTGCTCTCTATAATTAATGCTTCTCTGGTTTCTGGTCAGGTCCCTGCTTACTTTAAGAATGCTGTAATCCACCCGCTTCTTAAAAAACCGAGTCTGGACCCCTCTCTCCATAGCAGCTTCAGACCCATCTCTAAACTTCCGTTCATCTCCAAGATCTTGGAAAAGGTTGTGGCTAAACAACTCACAGCTGCTCTTGATGAACCTAACATCTATGATAGCTTCCAGTCAGGTTTTTGTAGAGCTCATTCTACTGAAACAGCTCTTCTTAGGGTCTCTAATGACCTTCTGACTCACAGTGATGCAGGGGACTGTTCTGTTCTGGTCCTGCTGGACCTGACTGCAGCCTTTGAAACTGTTGACCATCACCTGCTACTGGAGAGGCTGAGAGACTGGGTAGGCCTACCAGGAACTGCTCTGGAGTGGTTCTCCTCTTATCTTTCTGAGTGCTCCTTTTCTGTGGCCGTCTCCAAGTTTAGGTCCTCCACCACCTCTCTTACCCATGGTGTCCCACAAGGTTCTGTGCTGGGGCCTCTGCTCTTCCTCCTCTATCTGCTTCCTCTTCAGCACATCCTGAGCTCCTTCAAAGGAATCTCCTACCATCTTTATGCAGATGATATCCAACTGTGCATCTCCTTTAAGCCCCATGAGATGTCTAAGCTGCAAATGTTACACACCCGCTTAGACTCTATCAAAACCTGGATGGTGGGAGCTTTCTACAGCTGAATGAAGATAAGACTGAGATCCTCATTTGTGTCCCAGACAAGCTGGTTCCCAAAGTCAGAGACTCTCTTGGTCAGCTTGCTTCTCACACCAAACCTTCTGTCAGGAATCCTGGTGTGACCTTTGACCCAGCTCTCACCCTGGATTCTCATGTCAGTTCTCTTGTTCACTCTTCCTTCTTCCATCTTAGGAACATTGCTAAGCTGAGTCCCATTCTGTCCCACTCTGAACTTGAGACAGTTCTCCACACCTTCATCTCCTCACGCTTAGACTACTGTAACTCTCTTTTCACATGTCTGAGCAGAACCTCCCTGAACCGTCTACAGGTGGTTCAGAATGTCTGTGCTCGGCTTCTGACCAAGTCCTCCAAACACACCCACATCACCCCGCTTCTCCTCCAGCTTCACTGGCTAGCAGTCAACTTCCGGGTTCATTTCAAGATCCTGGTTCTGGTCTATAGGGCCTTACATGGACAAGCACCATCTTACATTGGTGATCTTCTTAGTGCCTACACCCCCAGCAGGTCCCTGAGGTCCAGTGATCAAAGCCTACTGGTTGTGCAGCGCACCAGGCTAAAGACCTAAGGTGACAGATCATTTGCTGCTGTGGCCCCCAGACTCTGGAACTCTCTCCCCCTGAGCCTGAGATCAGTGGACTCAATGGTCTCCTTTAAAAAGCAGCTGAAGACTCACTTGTTCAAGCTGGCTTTTGTATGACCTTCTTCACCACTCACTCTTTATTCTGCTCTCCCCACCTATTCCACCTTCCTCAGGACTCCACTGATTTCCCTCTTTCCTATTCACTCTCTCTCTTTCTTTACATATTTTAATCACGATTGTCTATTTTTTGCTCATTTGAAATACATTTTTAACCATTTTCTAAATTATTTTTTTATTTTTACACTTTTTTTGTTTTTGTGAAGCGCCTCTTGATTTTTATCTTGAGAGGCGCTATAGAAACGATATTTTCTTCTTCTCAAAGCTCAGTTTGAGCCCCTACATGTTACACAGAATAATCAGAGCCTCTGTCATCACCTTATTTATTTTTATAAACACTCCACCTCTGACTGTGTAACAGCTTACTGCTATGAGCAGCTCCACATTCTGCAGCATCCAAATGAAACACTTGCCTGAACTGAAGAAAACAAATAATAAAAAAATAAAATAAAAAACACCACCTCGATCTCACAACAAACACAAACCAGAATTCACAGCAGCAGCTCACTGGAAGATATTGACTGTATTGTGTGTCTGCTACACCTCATGCATCTGTTTTGAAGCTTACTCTACCTCGAAATTAGTTTTCAAATTATATCAGGCAGCTTGTACATCCCCGGAATGCTGTAGTGTTATATATATATTCATTGTTGTTGCGCCACAGTTCTGCCGTATCATCTGGTGTTGTCGATACAGGACCATCATGCAGCCATGTTCGTCATAGATGCAGAATTTTATTCAATAATTCATAACTTACTGAGTTATGACACCTGTGTTTACGTTACCTGGTTTCTACCACTGCGGTTAATAACTAGCTAGAAAACGCTCTTTGGTAGACGTAAATAACTTTACGTTACTTACCATTTAGAACAAACTAGCAGCTTGCGGAAGTTTGCTAACGCTTCTTTAGTATTCTTCCATTCGCTGGTCTGCTGTGGTGTATTTTCATCCATTCTCAGAAGAATTGCTTCTTTTACTCGTTTGCTGTTGGGAACAGAACTTACTTCCTACTTTTTTTCTACAAGCCGCCAAATACTTACGGAAATGACGTGAAAAGTGACGTAATACTAGTAAACGTGAATACGTATGTACAGTCTATGGTGAATACAGACGAATCCGCAAATCCACAAATAAAAAAGTACAAAAACTAAAAATATAAAACGTATTAACTTTTGTTTGTGTGGTAAAAATGTTAAAAACAATGTTTTTTGTTTTTTTTGCAGCGGTCGACAGGCCTTCAGGAGTTTCTTTTTTAGGGCAACTGGATCTCATGGAAACACGAAATTGGCTTTTAAATTTTTTTCTCCTCACTGCCGGACAAAGTCATGTATACTAACTATGGTTACTACATTAAAGCTTCTATCGGTTATATATTTAACCCTAGACTCAAAATATTAGCAGTTGATGGGATAGAAATTTTCAATAAAAAATGTAATAATATTTTCCTGAGAAACAAATTAAACAAAACCTTTTATCCAAACATAATACTCCGATTCTCGTTACTACGAAACTTTTCAAATGAAGAAATTAAATTTTTGAGAACCAACTATGTAAAATTCTCTTTACCCCAAAGTATAAATAAGTCCATTTTAAAACCTTGAATGATATTTACCCATCTAACCATTTTATACAAACTAGATTTAAGTTCAATGTGGAAAAATGTTACTCATGCAAACAAAACGATGAATCGACCAAACATCTTTTCTATGAATGTGGAATTAATGATGTGGAATTCACTCCAGGATTGGCTGAACTCCAATCAAATTTATATAAACAATTTCACAGTTGAAAGTATCTTATTTGGCATTATACTAAAAGATAAAAATAATGAATTTCTAATTAATAATCTCATAATCTTAACAAAATTTTTCATACACAAATGCCAATATCTCAAAAATCCACCTAGGTGGAATAATCTCAAAAATGAAATTAAACTGCTGTTGAGATCCTTAGGTAAAATGCCCACCCCAATGCTATAAAGCTTTATAATTTCATTATGAACACTAATCTCTAACCGCTTTTTGGATGGTATACACAATAGACCTTGTTTGCTCTTCAACTTTCCCCTTGTAAAATTTTTATTTATATACACATATAATTTGTTTTATCATGCTGTCTTACTTGTATCCTTTCATTTTCGTTTTGATTTTTTTATTTTTTTATGTTATTTTTTGTCTTCTTACTATACCAAGTTGAATTGTATCTACAAAATGCAAGTTGAGATGAACACGAACTTCGGAGCTACTCTGTAATGTCACTCTGCTAACAAATTTTGAAATGTAGTCGCTTTTGTTCGTTTTGCAAAGGTTCAATAAAAGTTCTTTAAAAAAAACTATGGTTACTACAGGCAGGGTTCATAGCAAGACCAAACTAATCTCTCCACTTCCTGTGTCATCATTCAAAATAAAACATACCGCCTAAAAATTACTTTGGGTAGTGTTTGTATCTTAGTCTAAATAACAGAAATACCAGAACGTCTTCACTTATACTCACACACCGAGCCTCATAATTATATGTTGATTATCGGTGTTCAGCAAGATTCATTCAATAATTAGGAACCAATAGCTGCTAGCTAACAGCACTAAAACAAATCTGGTCATACGCTCTCTGGTGGCAACAAAACGAAACATCCACACTATGCTCATGTTTATACTTTCTAATCAAACATGGTAGATCTAAAAGTATTACTTCTTAGTTCAAACATCAATAAGTACCCAACTTCATCTAATAAACACACAGATAAGTTGATTAATGTATTTTGATTTCACAATAACTGTAAACTACTCAAATAAATACAACAAAAGCAACCAGTTGAGTATGCTATTTACTGGTTGGCTAAATAAACTTTTAGTTATGTTACTTAATCTGTTATTTCATTTGATTGATAGCCACATGCTCCATCAATAAGGGATTTTTATGTATTTTGTAAACTACATGGAAACTCGAGAACTCAATCCTCAGTGTCTGGCTTTCAAGATTAAGGATTTTCCCGCTCTCTAGCGGACAAAACTGTTGCTACAGGAAGTGATCATTAAGCTAAACAAGACTAACTCATATAGCCACTCCTGTATGATCCTTCAAAATAAAACACCACCTTAACATTTTTCAAAAATTACTAGGGTTTTAGTATTAACCGCATAGTTAATCTAATGGAAAATCCAGAACATCTTCATTTAAACAAAACACTATTCAATAAATCTGTTAATTGTCTGTGTTCAAGACGAGCTAAAGCAGGAACAATTAGCATCTAGCTAACAGCATTAAAAGCAAATCGGGTCATTCGCCCTCTGGTGGCAACAAGGCGAAACTAAATCCACAATAGGAGTAAAATCTCTGTACCATACTAATACATTAAAGCTATTAATAGGTCAAAAAAAATTTTGTTCTAAAATTTTACCAGCATCTGTTTATTGTTTCTAGTCAAACGTGTCAAAAAATATATGTTTCTAGTTCAAAAACAAATACCAAACTACATGTAAAAACACACTCTGAAATTGGTAGACATTAATGTATTTGGATTTCATGATGAATGTATAAACTATTAAAAAATAATACAAAATCAAAAACAATTAGATATAAAAAACAAGAGAGCTAAACGGCATAAATGCTTGATCACAACAGCTGCTTTAATTTGGTAAACTTATTTCAATGCAATATATTTTAATTATATGGTTTAAATAAAGATCGAAGAAACGTACTTCTAAATCATCTTAGTAAATTATGTATTTATGTTAGAGCAGTACAAAAGTTTAAGGGCCTGTATTTGTATAGCACCTACTTAGGGTTCTACAAGCCCCCCAAGCTGCTTTACAAGAGTCATTCACACGCTGGTGGAGATGAGCTACGATGTAGCCACAGCTGCCCTGGGGTGAACTGACAGAGGAAAGGCCACCCCTCCCTTGGACTACCACCAGCTGGCAAGGCGGGTTAAGTGTCTTGCCAAAAGACAACAGCAGCATTCTCTCCAGTTACTGGACAACCTGCTTTTCCTCCTGAGCTACTGCTCAACATGAAGTCAGATACTTCCATTTCACTTCGTTTTTGCTTGTTTACAAAAATAACATTATTATTGTAGCAACATGCAGAGATTTCATAGAGATTCACTACAAGATCCTATACTCCCCCATACTGCACAAATTCCACAAAAAATTCAATTGAAGACATAAACAACAGTAAAAACATCCGCAACAGCGCTTGGAAATTTGCTTTATTGTGATCATAAAAACAGGTTTGATACATTCACAATCATATTGAGCCGGTCCAAAAGAAAGAAGGTGTATTAAATATTTAGAAGAGTCATTCCAAAACACAAGGCAAGCCCTTAGGGGAGGTTTAAGGAGTGCATTTTGAGTTTAAAGGATGAATGGGGATATTTTATTTTGATAGGCTTCAGATTAAAAATGCATCTCTTAACATTTCAGATTTAATGTTGACTGAGAGGTTTTATATGTCATACATTCAAAGCATTAGTTGAACCTGAGATGCTGAATGGGAAAACATTGTTTATATGAATGCTCCAGTATCACAACTACAGGAAAAAATAAAAAAAGGGTAAAAACAGATCAGGTAAATCCAAGGTGAAAAAAGAAGTAGTATACAAATATACTTAATCGGTAAAGGTTTGGTCCTCTGATGCTCCATAAACATTAGATTTATAAAAAGGTAGATATGTCATTTATCCTTCATTTGATTTAATACACTTTAGGGGATTATTCATCATTTTAAACATAAAAAGATTATTTAGAATATTTTTAATGAATGCATTGTGTTTGTGTGAACAGTGGACTGTTTTATGTCACACTGAACATTCAGCTCTATGTTTGTACTGCTTTAATGGAGTCCAGCCCATCATCATCATCGTCCTCTTCACTGTGAGTTGATTCTGTATCTGTGCCAATATTTCCCATTGCAAAATTGATGAAGACCTGTGGAGATTATGGAAATGCATCAGACCCATGATGATAAATAGGGTGATCATTTATTTTTGTCTCATATTTTGCAAATCAGGTGCGACACCCCACCCCTCATCGCCCCCGTCCTTCTCCTGGCCATGGTGTCTTCCAATCCTCCAGCCCCAGAGGAGTGGTTGAAGAATATCAGCTTTGGCTGCATATGAAGCTTATGGATTCTCTCCCTAACTCACATTCCATTTATTTTCCCCCGGCATACCCTCGGCCAGTATCCCTCTGCCTTAAAAAAAGACTTTCTGTGCTCTCCCTTTCACTCCCACTCAGCTTTATTCTGTCCCTGCTTCTCCTTCCGCCCTCTTGCCCCTTCTCTCATCTCACGTTCCTTTTTTTCTGTCCCTTGCTACCATCTGCCCACCACTACAAAGCCACACAACTAGTTCTCCCTCATTCTCAGTTTATGTCCTGTCCTCATTTTTCTTTTCCCCTCACCTCATCCAGTGTGGTCTGGCTCACAGAGAAGTGTTTGATGCACAGAGCATTCTTGTTGGTCTCCAGCTGGTTGAAGATGTCAGCAACCCCTCCAGGAGCATTTGGTACGTGGTACTCTACCATGGCAGAGTGCTGATCCTGTGAAGCAGAAACAGTGCGTTAAAACCAAAACACAGCACCAAATATAGCTTGTAAGACTTCACATAATAAAAAATGCATTGGTTGCTAAGGAAACAATTTTATATGTAGGTGAGAACTGACCATTTCTATTTGTTAGTCAACAAACAAAAAGCTCTATACATAATGGACTCCAGGAATGGAAACAGATTTGTAAATTCATATCATGTCACGTCAGTAGGTTTTTGGAAAACATGCTTGGAGGTCAACAAACACTAATATCAATAATACTAAGTAAAATACCCAATAAACACTTTATAATATAATTATGTTTATATTTCTCTAATGACAGCATAAACATAAAGAGGTTAATCATAATCACACAGAAACTGGATTTTGTACTTTAAACATTCTGACATTTTTTAGTGGTTATTCTTTGTTTCTCTTTATTATCACAGATGCTGTAGGTGGGTCAATTTAATTTAGGGGTGGAAACATACGCTTCATTTTACTCCTTTTCAAGCAACTTCTGAGTTCAAACACAGGGATGGGGCACAATGTTTACACCTGAACAGTATCAGGATGTTTTAACTCACAGAGACCTGCAGAGCGCTGAGAATCCGCTTGTTATGAGCGCTAAAAGTTATTTTGCCGCTTCCGTGCGGAGCGGTAGGGGAACACGTTTCAAACACGGAACCGAGTCCGGCTACCGAACCGAGCGGATTTCTGATGACGCAACACCGGTGCGTGAAGGCATGGATGTCATTTTCGCTTTAGAAGTGGGGTGGACATCTATGTGGGGTGTATGATCTAATGGGAAACAGGCTTCAACACAAACAGTTGTTTTCCGCTTGGTCCTAGAGCTCAACCAGTGTCAGTTTAATATAGCGTAATATTGCTTTTGGATGGTAAAAAGTGCAGGGGTCAAAACTTGACTTTGGAAAACCCTAACCCTAACCCCATCCCCCCCCAAATTACGTCCATGCGTGAAGGTGTGGGTTCCAACCCACAAGAGAGGGAGAGAGGAGGTGAACAGTGAGTGGATCACAGGGACAGAACTGATGTTTTTGAGCAAAACTGCAGTAAAGATGGTGGTTTCTCCTCATTATCAAGTATACACCCACACACCCCCACGGTTTAGACGCGGCGCTCATGCAGGCGTCTCTTTCTGTTCCGACGCTGCGACGTGCAATATTTTTAATTTATTAAGTCTACAATTTATTTTTACTCAGTAACGGATATGATTTAAAATGTAGCGAATTACAATTCTTTTTAAAAAAACATACTCAAGTAAAAGTAAAAGTACAGATTTTCAAAACTACTTAAAAGTATAAATACACATAAAAGCTACTCAATTACAGTAACGTGAGTAAATGTAATTCGTTACTTTCCACCTCTGCTGAACACTGAATTGCAAGTGTGGTATTCTGGCCACAGGAGGCTGTGGGGGTCTGAGAGACTTTTCATTAATCTGTAAATCATCATTTCAGCACAAACTAGCTCGAGAGAATTATTTAAAATATGAAAAAGTTGCAGAGTATGGCTTCATAGTCAGAATTCTGAGAAAATTCATCAAAATATTCCTTCTTTTTTATCTTTTCAGTGTCCATAATCCTCTTCCATATTAGGTAAATTAAAATAATAAAATAAAAAAATAAGCTAATTGTCAACGCTGGCTAGAAAACAAAACACCAACGCATAAACATTGTGGAACATTTAGCAACTGAACAGCAAACATTTCCTGTAAGCGGTTGGTGAAAATAAAAAAATGTGTAAAGATATCTCTGAAACTCTACTGCTTTATGTTTGCTGGGTGTGTAGAGAAGGGATATCTGGTTCTTTCCCACCAAACATATAATTATGTCAGTGTTGTGTTTGCTACACAGTAGGATGAATCCATTTGACGATGCAGGCTATAGAAAGCAACCAGGTCATGTAATTGCATTGACATCGTCAAGCAATGCTTATTGGTGCTTTACTTGTACACATCATGAATTTCGCTGTAGGGCTCAGCATCTGTCCTATTTTACAGTCTGTTTTCAACAATACTTTTTATGAACCTCTGTCACATTTAAAATGGTATATTCAGAGTACTTGTTAAGACTAACACTCACTAACTGGAAACAGCAACACGCACCTCGTTACAATTCACAAAGCTGTCGAGCTCTGATAGTAAGTAATGAATTTAGCTGATTTGGTGACATTTTATATGTATTTTTCTGAAATATAAATTAATCTTTCCGATCATTTTGATTTTTAACAAAGTCAATAAATATTATACTACATAAATTTACATTTTACAATGATATGCTATTTTATTCTGCTTTTCAAATTACTTCTAGCAAAGCAAAATGCCCGTCAGATCTCACCTTGAGGTAAGTGGAGGGGAATCTGTGCTGCATGAAGGTGGTGATTGCCTCCGCGTCACACGTTGGCTCGGCCAAGTACATTTTTACCGTGAACCCGGTGCCAAACCTGCACAAAAAAAGATGTTTTAGTAAGAAAAGGACTGTTCTCGCATATTTCAGGGAATTAGGGTGTGGGTGGCAAAGGAAGGAAGGATGGGTTGAAGGATGAGTGGAGGTCACTAACCTGTTCTTAATGTGCTGCAGGGAGCCCAGGCATTGGAAATGACCTTTCACCATGATGGCAAGACGGCTGCAGAGCGCCTCACACTCCTCCATGCTGAGAAAAGGAGAAAAAGAGGAAACGATGAAAAGGTCACACAAGAACTATTTGAACGTACACATTTTCTGCTTGTGTTTAACATGACTGTAGCTCTCATCTACAAGAAACAAATAAAATTGGTCAAATGAAAAACAGATAAATGTAGTGATGCAGAGTATAATTTAAAGGTGTAGAACACTCGTTTAATCAATACATTTGCAGTAATCTCTGGTGAATAAATGCCTTGCAAGCCGTACTTGGGGGGGAAAAAGGCCCAGAAGCGCCTGGATCAGCACGGACAAGTCTGCTGCAGCAGAGAGTGGCACAACACGACTGGAATCTGAGTCTTATTTCCTGATATTTGGACTTCTTGCCTCTGATTGGGTAACAATAACACAACTCTACCAGTAACTCTGTTTGCTTTGCAATGCTGATGTTTTATCTCCACAAATAACACAAGCCTGGAGGAACTTCAGCCATGTGGTTGAGTTGCTAATGCTAACGGTAAGCTTCTGCTAGCTGAGACGTTTCCTGTTGTCTCCAAAATGCTGAAACAGCCTTCCACGTCACAAACAAAGACAGGCGAGTCCGCTTTAAGTAGATCTGTCAGGCTTTTCACATCCTTGCGTTTCACCGTCTACTGTCTATCAGAGGCTAACTTAGGTGTAGGAGACTATTTTCATGTTCAGCCTGCATGAAAAACTCAAGGTGGTTTTTCAGTGTTCCACATCTTTAAAGTGTTTCAATAAAAAAATGAATCGGTTCTTACCTGTGAGAGGTGAGAACCACAGCGCATTTTCCTCGCACTTCTTCAGAGATGATTTTCCATAGGTGACGCTTGGTGCGGGGGTCCATGCCAGAGCTTGGCTCATCCTGCAGAGAGGAAGACGAGGAATGAAAAGAGCGCAGCTGGATGCTAAAATCAATATGGCAAGGTCAGGAAACGACAATCAGATCATTGACACCAGCATGGAGCAGATGCGGTGCATGGATGGATGAACACGTAAGAGTAAAAACAAACACAAAACAGAAGCTGAGAAAACAAAGAAACACAACGACAATAATAACAAGGGAGTTGAGGGAAAAAAGGGAAAAAATAATAATGAGGGGAAATCCATTGGATTCAACGGAGATGGAAAGGAGAAAGAAAGCGTGATCAACAACTCTGGTTAAGCTTGCATTTGTTTTTGTTTTTTCCCCCAATCTAACAGATCTATTTTAATTTTGCTTAAACACCATATGCATGCAGCCGGTGTAATATTTGTTTTCTGATGACCAGTGAAGCAATTATTTAGACAGATACAAACAGTGTGTGTGTGTGTGTGTGTGTGTGTGTGTGTGTGTGTGTGTGTGTGTGTGTGTGTGTGTGTGTGTGTGTGTGTGTGTGTGTGTGTGTGTGTCAGTCTCACCAGGAGCAGGATTTGTGGATGTCCAATGAGAGCCAGAGCAGCAGAGAGCTTCCTGCGGGTGCCGCAGCTGTAACCGTCAGTGACGATGTTCCTGTGATAATTCAGCTCAAGCCTCTTCAGCAGGTAGTTCACCACCTAAAAAATACATGCTGGGGATTAGATTCTGGATAAGCAGAAAACGAACACTTCAGTTTTTTTTTCCTCGCACTCCTCCATATTAGAATCTGAAGCACAATATTGAACAACGCCGATCACCATGTCTGCTACAAAGCATAAATCGGTAGAATAGATGTTTTTAATACATTTGCAGTGGTTTCTTGTAGGACCGAATGCCTTGTAAGTCATAATCTGAGGGAAAAACTTACAGTGCACCTGTTTCAGGAAGTCTAAGTGAGCAGAGTTGAGCAGATGACGGCAGGATTTTTAGTCTTATTTCCGGACATTTAGACATTTTGCTTCTGATTGGCTAACAGCAACGCAACTCTACGACTGACTCTTGATTGCTCTGCAACGTTCATCTCCAAAATTAACACAAACCTGAAGGACTTCTTCTGTGTATTGGAGTTGCTAATGCTAACGGTTAGCTTCTGCTAGTCGAGACATTCTTTGCCGTTTCCTGGACGCTTAACGACAACAGCGTTCCCCGTCGTGAGTCAAGATGGGTGAGTCCATGAATGTTAAGTGACAGTGTGACGTAGATCTGTCAGGCTTTTCATATTGTAGCGTTTCACCATCTGTTTTCTATCAGAAGCTAATGCAGGAAATTGGTGTAGGAGACTATTTTCATGTTCAGCCTGCATAAAAAATGCAGGGTGACAGATTATAATCAGAAATAATAATTAAAACGTTTTTTTTGTGAAGTTGACCTTTAATGGTTTTGCACATACAGTAAACATAATATGCTAACATTCTATTCCCAACAAGCAAATATAAAATCAAACGGTATTTAATAGATTTAGACAAATGTGGGCCTTGAAAGGGTGCTCGTTTCTTTAATCTATCAACCAATGCACATATTTTTGGCCTCACAAGCCTGCAAACATGATGGTGAAGGAGAGCTAACCAAGCGCACCATGTATTCTCATTAGCTTGATCCGATGTTGATTTACAAGGGCAAAGCGAATAACGTGGCCCTGCTCCTTTACAAGCTAGTTTATATTCATTGTCTTACTGTAACTGCCTTCTCTTTTTCTCTCCAGAACAGCAGCACAATTACTTGAGGTATCTATCTGCCCCTTTTGCATGCATATTTAATGATGTTTGCACAAAAACGGTGGATTTACCTGACGACTTTATCCTGACCATGCTGTCCTGTGGCTGCAAAGACTTATGCAGTACAACCCATTTGATGCATGTCAATGGATTCCTTGTCCATAAACCCCAGTGAATCCCTCACTGAATCATAACTATTCCAGATGCTAAAAATGCCTACGGTTGCTTGTTAATCATATGGAAGTATGTGCTGTAAATACCAGTGTGCTCTGAAATAGCCCGAGGTCATTGCCCATTAAACTATGGCCTTTTCTTCTTTCCTTCAGAGGACAAGAATGGAAACCAGATCAATGAGGCAAGCTCACACAACAGACACCTCAGTTCACTTAGATTTGCTGCTTTTTCTTTGTAAAAGGACATTTGCCTTGAGTGCTATTTTTTTCTGTTCACCTCACTGATCCAGATTATCTAGATTATGTCTATAAAATCAGATTCTTTACAAAACCACAGTATTCTGCATCCAGATTTGAATGATTAGTATGCTCAGTGTCACATACTCGTGCCAGGTTCAGATCAAAACATGATGTTTTTTTTCAATGTTCTTTTATAAAAGCCATTGTCTAGCACCTTTGATGTAACAGCTCATTAAGCCGACAAAATCATGTCAATGCGAAATGACCCCATTAAGGCTTGTCTCGTTATCAACAGCTAGGGGACTGTCAGTGGGAGACATCATAAGAGGAATAATATATATATATATATATATCGTCATCATCGTGAATTAGGCTGACAACGTTGTTGCTACTACAGCCATTGTTGTCATTACTCTGATCAGAGCTGCAACAGCAGCGGTGACAGTGATTAGTGTCAGGCGTCTATTTCTGCACTTTATTGTCTATGTGTGTCTTTTGTGTCTCTGAGCATAGTTGGTAATGTTTGTCTTCAGCTCTGCTGATAACACGACTAAGGGTGTCAGAGGCAATCAATGCAGACACAGTGGAAAATGGTGTAGAGTGGAAAAGCACAGATTATTTTATCTTTTTTGCACACAATCTCACAACTGCTGCTGTCACTGCTTTGGAGAAATGAAACTAAACTACAAATCTGGGCAATAAATAAGAGGCACAAAAAAGCTACATTTTATGCAATAGCAATGTTTCGCTTTTTTATCCATTGCAACAGTTTAGATCTCTCTGTATCGTATTTTTCTGAATTAGTACATTTGTTTTAAAGCCACATAGAGTTCTGATTGCAACGTCTGGTCAGCTGGATGATTTATAAAGCAAGATTAGTGAGTTATAATGATGATGATTCATAGGGCACCTCTTTTGCTGTATTGCCATGGTAACTTAAGGAGAACAAATAACCTGCTTTGGAAGAGAATGTGTTCAGCCTTTTGGATCAGATCAGCTGGAAAAGTGATATAATGTGTTGATTCTCAGCTGTGTTTTGCTATTGAACCAAACTGTGGTTATAAACTGAGTTGCGTTGCCATGGGAACAAAAGTTATCTTACTTATGCTTTTTCTCCATAGTATTAAAAAATCTGTGCGAAAAAAAAAACTTTTAGACTCTAACCCCATACCCTAAGCTTTAATATTGCTTTCAAAATGGTTGCAGTGGTTCTTGAGCCAGAAACTTAGCCTAGTGAACTAGACCAAATTCTTGCTTTGCAAAGTTTGGTCTAGGCATGCTCCATTGGAACCTCCGCAGCTCCTACGAGGACCCTGGCTAGCCAATCACAGCTCTCTAAAGGGGTTTCAAACACATAAAGAGCTGCGATTGGTCCATAATGGTGGGCCAATCATAGTGCTCTATCTGCTTAGTGAACAAATCACAGAGCTTTAGCCCCTTTGTGGGCCAATCAGGGCACTCTATATGCCTGGTGGGTGGGATGATGCAACAGAGTGAAACAAGAGTATGTCACATTCATTGTCCAGTGGAATGCGGAGATCATTTGAAAGACAACGGTAGAACCCGCCCCCCAACCGAGAGCCGTCAATGGAGCGTGGCCAGACTAAATAATACATTGAGTGCGTTTACATGCAGCCAGTAACCCTTTTAAAACCCGAATATTCACAATAACCCGGTTCCGCAGGTCCATGTAAACACCGCCAAAAACCCAGAATGCTCATAACCCGGTTTTTAGAAACCCGGTTACTACACCTGGGGTAACCCTTTTCTAACCCGAATGTTTGGTCGTGTAAACGCATAACGGGATATCCCCATCAAAGCGTGTGTTCTGTGCATGCTCTGTTCGCAAGGAATCTTGGTCTTTTGAGTAGCGAGACGTCTTGCATGCGCCAGAACACCGGAAGTAAACAAGTTGGGAGCAACATGGCGAGTCGCGGCACAGCACAACACTTTTGGAGTGACGAGGAAACTAAAGCGCAAACAAACTCGGTCGCTATCTCTTCCGAACTGGGAAACATGTTGTTGTTTTCACGGATACCGGAACAAGAAGAACCGGAAATGACGCATTTTGCGTCTGGACGTAGTCCATACGTCCTGACGCTACCCCAACATCCGCATTTACATCGGGTTATGCAAGTTAGGGGTAACTCTTTCTATTTATGCTTGTAAACGGGTATTCTGATCAACTCAGAAACCAGAATACCGACCTTAACCCGATCATAACCCGGATATTGGCTGCATGTAAACGTAGTCATTTATTTAGTCTGGCTTGCCAGCCTACCAGAAACTTCTAAAAACTTCAAAAAACAGCTACTTCATATTGGACACCACTTTGTAGATCTCTACTGACCAGCAACTGCACGTAAGAGTTTTATGGTTTGGGTAGGAACACTAGTGGAAGTTTGGTGTGGCCTACACTTGTTTGATGGAGCAGAAGGAGGCTATGAAATCATTGACTGATGGTGACCTGGCATTGTTGCTATTGGACTTATAAGTAATAATATTTTGTCCAACAGTGTAGAATTTTGAAATCTTGGCCTATTTAGTATAAGTTGGCTTGTGCTAGCATTAGCTCGTAGCGCTTGCTACAACAGGCTGCGGCAGGGTTGTTTACGATGGCTGTAATTTCACTTTCAAACAGCAGGGGGAGGAGCGGGAAACTTATTAAGTGTTGCTCTAAAAAAGGGGAAATCTGGGATTATAAATAATATTTCTGTCTGAAGTTTCAGTTTGTTGGTGTTTTGAGTCTGATATTGCAAAGAACTGTTAACAGTACTTAAGAGGAGTTGACAAAAAATACAACCCCCCCCCCCCCCTCCCCAAAAAAAAATACATGAGAACTGCACATCTGACTGCACATTGGACACTTAGATTCAATCGATGCACCCAGCAAGTTAAAAATTGATCAGAGTGAAGCTTGCCACACTTAGAAAGGAACATACTGAAAGAAATAACTTGGTTTGTTCGTCAAATACTTCCTAAACTCCATCTAAATCCCATTTTCTTTTTGTTATTCAGTTAATTTCCACCACGCTGGCAGCAATGACAGACACAAGTAATTACCACAGAAGTACAATTGATTAGATATCTCTAAGATAAATAGGAAGAATGGAATTAAAGTGACACATGATCCAACCACCATGGACACAGCCCTTCAGAAATCTCTACAGAAACAAACAGCACCTTGATTGGCGCAAACTTCATCTTCACTCCGAAGTTTTGGGCCCCGAGCCGAGCTGACAGCAAAAGCTTTTCTTGATTTGACTGTACAGCTTTCAACCCACATCACTCAGCACTTCACACACTCAGATTAAGTATGCGTGGAAGCAACAGTTTCTAGTCTTGGAGCGAAAGCTCACCTTGGAATTTCTATCAGATCTTGTGGCGTTTTGTGGGTGATGTTGTCACCACACAAAGCTTTGAAAGACAGCACTGTTGCTGCAGCCTTTCCTTACCCCGTCTATCTCTCTCTTTGAGATGCCACGGATGCGAGCGTAGAAGTACAGATGCTCTTCTCCGGTGAGCAGATCATCCAGTGCATCCACCTGGGGGCAGTAGCCGATGTTAATTCCTTTGTAGCGGCACTCCATGATGTCTACCAACCGACTGATGGGGGGGGGGATGAAAGATAAAAGAACACATATTTTAAATGGCTTTAGTAATTCTAAGACTCAGTGATTTTTTCAGAATCTCATATTTTTGACACCAAATTGGAAGATCATTAAAATGTAAAAAGGTAAACACATTAAAAGGTGCACATGTAAGCAAATCAATGTACTGCTTACCGGTCTCGGTCCATGATTCGTGCTGAGCCGCCTGTAGGGCTAACATCTCCAGTCAGCATCTTGAAGGTGGTGGTTTTTCCTGCACCATTCACTCCCAGTAGGCCAAAGCACTGAAAGGGAAATTCATATATATTTTACTCAAAGCACTTGGGTATTAAGCTGTAAGATTAGATTTCTGTGGAAAATCTCCAAGCAACAGTACATGGCAACCAAACTAAATTACAATCAGAGACATGAGCAATGTTCTTGGTATTATTTTGAAGATATTAGTTTAAAATTAAGACTTTACTCAATTTATCAGGTTCAACTGAGTTGAGAACAATTAATTGATCAAAATAAAAAGGATGTAAAAGCTGGAATACATAACCATAATTTATCATTTAAAGCCCCTCTTAAAAACTGTTCTAAATTAAAGCATAGTTGGTTAGTAACCAACGTTGTTGCTATTAACTTTTTGCTATTGGTCCACGCATTCCTTTTCTTACTTAAAGGAGGAAATTTTAATCACAATTCCCATAGACTTTAGAAATTTTGATAATCTTGTTTAAACCCAGTTTATGGTTCTATTTATTTTATCTGTATTTAAATTATTTTATTATGTCTGGCTTTTTGTTACTGTTGTTATTTCATTCATTATGTGTATGTATGTATGTATGTATGTATGTATGTATGTATGTATGTATGTATGTATGTATGTATGTGGGACTATGATATAATTATGACTATGTTTGTTAATATGCAATGTTCCGTTCCAATCAATCAATCAATCAATCAATCAATCAATCAATCAATCAATCAAACCAATGAAACCAACCAACAAACCTATGACTGAATCAACCAACCAACCCAAACCAGCCTAGCCAAAAAAAAACAATAAATCCATCCATTAATCAATCAAACCAAACAAAACTAACAAATTGAATCAACCAACCAACTAATCAAACAATCAATCGACAAACGAACAAACAATCAATCCAAGATGTGCATAAACATTTTTGTGTGAATCTCCATTAGTTTTATCACAGGGGGTTGTTTTTCTTTTTCGTTAATTTATCTCAGTCACCTCACACAAAGTATCTGGTTATTCTCAAGCTCACCTCTCCAGCAGGGATGCCCACAGACAGTCTCTTGACAGCATGCACCTTCTTATTGAGATGCTGATAGACCTTAGTGAGCTGGTTGATCTGCAGCAGGTCTGAGCTGGCTGCTCCACTAGCGACACGAAGATGCTCTGTTGACACATCCTCATCCTCTTGCTCAGGAGCAACTTGGGGCACCGTCTTTCTGCCTAAAATTAGATGCCTGCAACAAGGGAGGGCTTATATCTACAACCGTCTTGTATTAAATTCCATCTAAAATACATTTGTAAATTAACTTGACATGTTTGTGCTTGAGTCACAAGGCCCTGGATGTACAGATGGTCTGTTTTCCTCACCTAACTTTGCGCATGAGAGACTTGTTGAGCACAAGACGGAGCATGAAGAAGAAACAACCTTGGATGAAGGAAGAGATGAACATCCACCCTAAGCCGTCAGTGGAAAATGGGTTCTTATAGGCATCGATTCCGTATCCACTGAGAATCTGGACCTCGATGTTAGTCCTGGCCAGAATCATCATTCCATTCCCAAAGCTGAACTGAGGGAAGATGAGGAATGCGTTGCATAGCTTCCTGAAGATTTCCTGGATGAACTGCAAGAGGAATGGAACACAAAAGATGAATAAGAAGAGGAAAGGAAACAAGGGTGCAGATTTATAAATGATAGCTAAAGCTAAGTGGATTGATTGAAGTTTATTCTGACCTCTGGGTTCTGCCGTGCTATTTGCCCAAGGAAGTACAAGATGGACGTGGACATGATGGTGTTGATGCTGATGAAGAGATTGATGCAGACATAGCTGATGAAGGCGATTTCTCCGTCTCTGAAGACGCCTGATAAGAGGTACATCCAGGGAAAGGTAGAAAACCTGAGGAAGACGAATATTTTAAACAAGCCATCTACTAAAAATAACCACACAAACAGCTCGATATAAACCTGCTGTGATCTGACAGAACAGGAAAGAAACAGTTGAGACGTTTGTTCCAGAATGAAGCAAGTTTGTATTTTTAATTGAAGGCGGTGGGGTTGGGGCACGGGGGGTCTTTAACAGACTAAACGAGAGCTTGATGAAAGCAGACACCAAAGAATACTGCAGAGAGAAAGTGGAAAAAAAACAGCATGAGGAGGGTAAACATTCAGTCTCGATGGCAAAATAGACAAAGATAAATTACTTTTCCCTTTATTCCCCGTGGTCGCGGCACATCTTCTTTTTCCTCTCACATTATCTGCTAGTTCTTTTGATTGGGGTGTTTGGGTCAGCGAGCAGTAGAGAAAGAGGAACAGAGAGAGAGAAATGGTGATGAAATAAAAGAAAGCAGAGCAGGAACTGAGAGAGACACACGGAAACAGATCGAGCCAGACAGAGACAAAGCAGCTTCGTGCCATTTTCCAAAAAAAAAAGGTGCTTGGTAGGCAGACTGTGAGTGCCAAGCCACGACAAGGAACAGAAGCAAGAAGGCTGCAGACCAGACCAGGTGGGTGCAGAATGGCAGATGGAGCACTGCGATTACTCATTGTTTGGTAGGGAGACATCTGTCTGATAAATGAGAGGCAGAGTGCTGACTTGGCTTCCGACGATACAGAGCTCAGTATGAGGCCTGAGAGCAACAGCTTCCAAAGCAGGGGCCTAAATTTCAACCACAGCCAGTCGGATGACTCGTGACACAGATGAGAAAACATAATTGGCTTTGATGCTGTTCCAAGGTCTAAATCTCTTTGTCAGATTAATTTTAGAACGTTGGTGTTCTGGGATGGCAGCGATTCCTTATCTCACTCTGTTATATTGTTACTTCCATACCCCCCCCCCCCCCCCTACTAGCTGCTCTAATGGGTTTGGCCTGAGTGGGATAAACATGTCCACAGTGATTTTTATATCAGCCTTTCAATCCCGAGGCCATCTGTCTCTGGAAGGAATTCAGAAAGAAATACAGAAATAAATCTGTGTGTTTACATTTGAACAGCAGCAGCCGCCGTACGCTCAGTGCTGCCAACTTAACCTCAGAGTAACACCCATTAGAGAATAGAAATCCCAGTGCATATGTGCAGAAAGGCTGCTGCAAACGTAGGAACACTGGGGCATCCTCTGTGGGAAATGCAAGGTCATTTCAGTTGACTTAAAGTTGAACTGTTTGCCAACAATAATGGCTTTTGAAGCTCAAGGTTTATGTGGGAGATGATGCTCAGGCTGCCAGGATGAAGAGGAGAGAAGTCAGCCTCTCAAATGTTACAGGTTGGTTTAAATAATTCTACTTAAAATGCCAGATTATTTTATTTTTATTTTTAAGCTACAATACCATTTTTCTTCATTTCCATTGAATGATCAATGGATTTATTTAGAAATTCCCATTTGATGATAGCCAAGTTGGTCAAAAGTGTCATTTTATAAGTAAAAGTACATGTATCTCACAAATAGATGGTCAATTTACAACTTTCCTTCTAAAATTTTCCTTCTTCCTTTGTAATTTCTAGGCTTGACTACTGCAACTCTCTTTATTCAGGGTTGTGTCAGTCATCACTGCGTCGCCTACAGGTTGTGCAGAACAGCGCAGCAAGGTTCCTGACTGGGACCAGGAAACGGGACCACATCAGTCCGGTTCTGGCCTCCCTGCACTGGCTTCCAGTTTGCTATCGCTCACAATTCAAAATCCTCGTCTTTGTTTTTAATTTCTTCCAGGGTGGTGGTCCCCCCTATCTGGCCACACTCCTGAACAGACACTCCCCATCACGCGCTCTGCGCTCCTCTGACCAAGGCCTGCTCGCTGTCCCTCGTTCTAGGTGTCGTACTCGCGGGGACCGGGCTTTCTCAGTCCTAGCACCGTCACTCTGGAACCAGTTGCCAGCCTCAGTTAGGCTGTCCCCATCTCTGCCAGTCTTTAAGAGTCGCCTAAAAACCCACCTCCTCCGCTTGGCGTTTCCAGAACATGTTTGATTTTGGCCCTCTTTTATGTTGATTTTATTTCACAGTTTTCATTGGTTCACTCAATCCATTGTTTTACACATTTGTCCTGTACCAGAATGTTTCACCTATTTTGTATTTTGTCATTTGAATTGCTTTTATTTTTGATTTATTCAATATATTTACCTTCAACTGAACCATGTTCAGCGCTTTGGGCTTCCTGACAGGGTTGCGGAAGGCGCTTTATAAATAAAGCTTTGATTGATTGATTGATTGATTGATTGATTGATTGATTGGTTGATTGATTGATTGATAAAATACTGACCCAAAGAGCACAAGAAGAAGGGCGATGGCTCCTAAATTCTGTCTGTCTGTAAAGGCTGGAATTTGAAAGGCAGCAATCACGCAGATGGTCAGAGTCACCGGAATCAAATAAGTAACCTGTAGAGTAAAATAGAGAAGAATAACACTCAATTTAACTAATATACAAACATAAATAAATATTTTGTCTAAAAATAAGAACTCTATCCATGTAAACAACTTTGTAAACTGAGCTTTTGTTAAATTTAACCCCTTTTTCTTGAGTTTGAAGGCGTTACCATGTCATAGAAGAAGTTCACACTCCAGTAGAATGCCTCGCTGATGCCGGCAATGTGCTGGAGCCTCTTGGACCCGCTTTGGTGCTCGTTGACTTCATACAGGGCGAAGCTGGACGTCATAATTGAAAATCCTGTCAGCACACACATAGCCACGAGGATCTGGAGCAGTCCCTCAACACTGTGGGTGAAAATCAAAATCATCCAAATGATCAAGTGCCAAAATGCATTCATGCTTCTTAAAATTATTACTAATCCAAATATGTATTTGTAGAGTTTTAGTAGGGTTTATTCTGTTTTTTTATTAATTTTTTTTTTGCAGATTTAGAAAAATGACAGCATACTTTTAAAGTTTTGACTTCAAATAATGACTACTGAAAACCTCTGCTTAGACAGAACTCATTTAACTATTAATAATCCTCTTATTAACTAAAAATGTTGCAAATAAGAGCAAATGTGCTTAAAAGGATCCTCATTCTTTCATTTATTCAAAATATTTACATTTTGCTGTGGTTTCTCAGATAAAATAATGCCTTGCGAGTCGAACTCTGAGGGGGAAAAGCTTTGGCGCTCCTGTTTCAGGAAGTCGAAGTGAGCCAGCACAGAGATGAGCAGAAGACAGCCGGTTTAGGAGTTTAAGTCCTGATATTGGACATTCTCGCCTTTGATTTGCTAGCATGGAACATGCCTCTAATACTGACTGTTCCTTCTGCAACACTGATGTTTTATCTCCACAAAATGAGCCTGAAGAAGTTCTGCCATGTGGTGGAGTTGCTAATGCTAATGGTTAGCTTCTACTAGTCGTGACATTCTCTGCTGTCTCCTGGATGCTAAACCAACAACAGCATCCTTCCTTGCTGTGAGCCAAGGTAGGTGAGTCCATGAATGATCACTTTCAGTGTGACGTAGATCTTTAAGACGTTTTTAATCCGAGCGTTTCACCGTCCATTTTCTATTGGCGGCTAACGCAGAAAAGAGAGGTAAAAGACTATTTTCACGTTTAGCCAGTACGTTAAACTCTGAGTGGTCGATCAGACTTTAAACACAACAAGTAAAAAACAATTTCTCTGTGATCTTGGCCTTTGAAGCAGCAATAAATAAATAAAAACACACCAGATGTCTTTATGGAGCCATCTTCACACTGTTTGGTGTACAGGTAGGACGTCAGCCCTGTTCCTGTGAGCCTGCAGGTCTTATGGTCCAGAATAGACCCCCAGAAATCCAGCTGAGGCTTTGAAGGTTACTCTTCATTGCAGCACATTCACACATGCCTTCTCAGAACTTGACACTTTCGAATCTTTTTAAGTATTTCTGTGTTATGTTTTCTTGTTTTTCCCTCTTTATTCTTATTTTTTATCTCCTTTTTTTTGCTCCTATGATGCATTTAATTGCTGATGTGACACCAACATTTCCTCAGTCAGAGCCAATAAAGAGAATGTCGTTATTATTCTATTCTAACCTCTTCAACTCCCATTCTTGTCTCAGCTGCATGATGCTGAACTACTGCTCCCCTCTAGCCGGGCAAAAACCCAGCTGAGCTGCAGACTGAAAATCCTGCACGAGACTGAGAAAGGGGATGAATCTGGCAGAGTGGCTGAGAGGAAGGGAAGGGAATAGCAGAGAGGGACATGCGGTGGGCGTTTCAGGGCAACACTTACTACAGAAGAAAGCCAGGAGCAGCAGCTACAAGGCAGGCTTGTTATCAGTGAGGCCAAGATGGCTTTTGAAATGTTTCCCATGGGCAGAGCTGCAGCACGGTGAGAATGGAGACATTTGAGGGAATACATCTGCCATATCTTTAACAGAACAGCGGCCAAATCAATACATAAAGTGAGAATGCCAAGTATCACCCTAGAGGGACGTTGTAGCCCTTTGGAAAAGCTACAGCAAACATGTAAATAAAGGGAAAAAATGACAAATTGTTGCAGGCGACACTTGAATTCGCTCTCAGAACATGTGAATCAACCCTCACTGGAAAGCAGACATGTTCACAAACACAAATGCAATATTTACGTCCTCGTCTCTGAAGACAAATGTCGGACATTTTTAATAAACTAATATTGTGAGGAAGGGCAGAATCAATCCACCTGCAAGATAAACACTCATTACACTGGGACTTGGATCAATAGACTAAGCTAAAGGAAATCCATTTGGAAAATCAAATATGGGTAAATACTGCTGTCACTGCACTAAATCTAGCCTGACTTTTATGTTCATGACCAGACAAAAAAAGCAGCGTCCGTGGTTCGGACTGATCTGAATGCATTTGATAGAATATTTAGATCACTGATCATGTATTTGTTCAGTTTACAAAAGCAGCCATTGATATTTTTGAATGTTTGCAGTCGATTCAGCTGATGAATGTATGGAATAGTTCTTACACTGTATCTTCGTCATCCATCCGGCCAAAATAGGGATGGCTGGAAACTGAAATGGCTGTAACAGAAGAAGACAGGGCCTTGTTTACTCTGTGGTAACAACAACAGATACATTTTCAGCACAAAACCAAATGAGCAACGCTGATCTCTAAAGCCTGGGACACAGTCAGGTGTTTTCATTTTACACAGAGAACTGCTTTGGTTTTATTTTCATGGTCTTCTGGATGCTCCAAGACATAAACGGCTCCTTTTTGCATCTTTCTCAAGAGGACTAGGGTAAAACGTACTGACCGATGCATCTTTAATTGTTAACATCATCCTGAATGCAATTTTGACCTGGATGTGTTTGTATGTTTTTTAAACGGAACAGATGAGGGTTTTTTTGTCTTAAGTTATAATAGTTCTTTGCACAAAACCCCTCACACATAAAGTGACTTCAGCAGTTTTATTCTCGACAGTTTCAGTACCTTCACAGCTCTGTCAAACCGCTTTAAAAAACAAGATGGAGCTGGCCACGTCCACCCTTCTCCCACTCAGACTGCTTTAAGCTGAGAAGCTCAAAAATTCTGGAGGGGGTCGGAGTAGAGCCGCTGCTTCTACAGCAGGAGCTCTCTTTTGCACCTCAGAGGTTGTTTTATTCCACTGTCCTTGTTTGTGATGTCACAAACAGGGACTTTTTGAAATGGCTTGTTTTAATCACATAATTCTTAAAACCAAACACTGACAGAAAATGGATGGATGAGTTTTTTTCCAAGTCTGGAGTGTCTAAAGGTGTTATATGGCAGCACAAAGGGTGCAAAATGTGAGTTCTGCATAGTATGTTTTGTTTAAAATTACAGTTTCAGCCAGTGGTTTGAATTTATAGGTTATCAGTTGTTTCTATTTTAGGGTTTGGGACCAGTTTAAGTGTTGTAAAACAGGCTAACTGCTTTTAATATATTCTCACTAAGAGATTTTTTTCTTCACTTTTTAAATATTAAATCAGTTAAGAAAACGTATGTTACATAATCCACATTCTGGACATGTTCGCGTACAAAACGCTGTTCCAAGGGAAGTGTTCGAAATCTATATTTGTGAAAGTAGAGATTTATGGACTAGAATCACATCTGCAACGGTGGGGCGGTTATGGCCAGAAACCTTGCAAGAGTGGGACGATAAAACCAGTTTGATGAAGACATCTAAAGTGTCCCACCCTTCTGCTGACACTGTACCACGCAACCATCCAGTCAGAACATTCGTTTTGATGAATGCACTAGTCACCTTGAAAAGTAATCTCTGCAGATCTCCACCTCTCCACCGCCATTTAAATGGTTCCAGACCTGTGCCCTGCAGCGATTCTATAATCTGCTGGATGATATAAATGCATGCCGATACTTCTGTGCGTGATCTGGATGTGTATTTTAATACGTTTCAATAAATTTGTGCACTTCTGCCCAGGGGCAGATGGTCAGGGTGCTGAAACAAAACAGAAAAGGTGGGCCAGCTTTTGTTTCTCTTCAGCATCATTCCTCTGTGACTGGCAGGAATTAGAATTCAGAAAGTGTAGGACTGTTAGTGTGAGGACGTACAGCACCCTCTGGCTTTAATCTAGAAAAATGATCTGTGGGTAAACACACTGTTTACAGGCGTCTTATTCAGCACAGTAAACATGCAGGCCAATGCTAACATCTTGGTAATGATTCGTCTCATTACTTATGAACCCTCGTCTTCTATTTTACAATAACAGATCATGTTTGGAGTTAAATCTAAAAGACCTTCTCCCAACAGGATTGTTCTGCAACAATTATTTTTATCACATTATCTAACGGTAATGTTTCTTCTATTAAATATTAAACTCACCATATTGTTGTGGATCTTTGTCTGCTGGTATTTTGGAGCGTAGGATGAAGTTGTTGAGGCTGTTTAAGTATGCTGGCATCGTGTGGTGGCCTTCCGGGTTGAACCAGACCTACGATCAGGAAGTCAAAGCATGAAAACCATCACCGACACTGCTTAGGATTAAGAAATTTCAAATACATTTTTACATAAACAAGAAAAAATATTCAAAGAGCCCTCTGACATCACCAACTGAAAACATCTGTGCACAATTATTGCAATAAAAGGTTATAAAGGATAACAAAATCTGCTGATTTTACAATTTTCTTGCAGCAGGAGGAAGTTGACGTCATAAGTTAGCTTTAAACTACTCATCAGTGCAGCATTTTAGGTGATAATGAGACTTGCAGAAAGCTGTTACCTTGGCCAGCGTGCGGTTTTTGGGCACTTTTGTGACATCTATCTGTAAGTCGACTGGAAGAGGCATGCCAAAAGCAAAGCCGCCATACCTGAAAAATCAAAGCAGACGTGTTGATCAAAGCAAGGAGCTCCAATTGCTGCTGAGAGACAAACCGTGACACATGCTGTTGCTTTTTTTTTTACTGACTTGTTTCTTCACAGCAATCACGGTATAGCTTAGTGAACTAGACCAAATTCTTGCTTTGCAGGGTTTATTTAGTCTGGCTTGCCAGGCTATCACGGTAATCACCCAGCAGCAATACGAAATGTTTCCATGGAAAAGCGTTTAAGTCACTGCTAAAATGAAGATGATGAATTATAATCATACAGCTCTTTGAGACTAGTGGGTCAAACTGAGGAGCAGAGAGCTTTAAAGGGTTAAGAAACTGGATTTCTGCCCTTTTTTGTCAGATCATCTGGACTGACAGGCATCTTGTTTTTGAAAATGTAAGAAAAAAAAGAGTATAATAAAAAAAATCTTGTTTCATTTAATCTTTTTTAATTAAAAAATTAAAAATAAACAAAACTCCCCAAAACGTTTCATTAAATTCTGAATAACCCATAAACACTTGGTCTGATCTTGTTAGAAGACAGAAGTTAATTCAGAGAATCTAATTGTTGTTTGATGCACAATATATACAGGTGAAACTCTAAGAAGTAAAATATGTTACAAAAATGTTGTTATTTTAGTAATTTAGCTTAAAGGTTAAGCTAATCTATGAGATTGACTCATTACATGTAAAGCCAGACAATTCAAGCCATGTGTGATGATTATGGCTTACAGCTTATGAACCCGCACATTCAGAATATCAGACAATTAGAATATTGTGAAAAAAAATCAATAATCTAGGTTCAAAGTGTCACAGTCTAATCAGATAATTAATCCAAAATACCTGTAAATGGTTCCCGAGCCTTCAGATGGTCTCTCAGGCCTAGTCCACACGTAGCCGGGTTTTTTAAACGAATATCCGCCCCTCCAAAAACTTGCATCCACACCACCGCGTTTTAAAAACAAACTCTGTCCACACATACCCGGATAAATACGTTGTTAAGGACATGCCAGACCTGTAGGCGGCAGTACTTCCCCCATTCTTAACCTCGTCCTTCGTCTGTGGTCTTCCGCAAGGAGCAGTAATTCCGTTCACAAAAACAAACAAGCAAAAAGCGCTTGGACAATTGATGGATCGGGTAGTGACAGAGCGCAGCTCTGAGGGCTTCCATGCTGTCGGCTAGTGTAAACACAGGTCGCACACGTGATGTCAGCATTTTTTTGTCGCGGAAAGTGACGTTGTGGACCTTAAAACTCCGGTTTTGTCTGTCCACACGCAGACACCCAAAACGGAGAAAACGCAGATCTTCACTTTGGCCGGAGTTTTTAAAAAGATCCGTTTTCGTGTGGATGACAGGCCAAAACGTAGAAAAATATCTACGTTTTGGCAGATCCCCAGCTACATGTGGACAGGGTCTCAGTCAAATATGAATTAATGAGATAAGCAACCTTTTGCACCACATTCTAATTTTTTGAGTTTCACCTGCAGAAACTCATTGTATTCACCTGTTTCTGATGAAGTCATTAGCTGTGGCCACCAGGTAGTTCTCCACATTGATGCCACTCAGATTATAGACAATCTGAGATGAGGGGACTTTCTTATGAGGTGGCTGGAAGTTGTCCTTGTTGCAAATCTGTAGAGCAGAGAATAAGTAAATGTAGTCGTGTGACCTGATTTCAAACGATCGGGAAAGAGAATGCAGGACAGCAAGGAGACAAGTGAGAACACACACACACACACACACACACACACACACACACACACACACACACACACACACACACACACACACACACACACACACACACACACACACACACACACACACACACTTATTGCTGATCCAGTCTCACCTGCTCTTTCTGGGTGCATTTGCAGACGCTAAATGGTTTGGAGATGTTCCCCTGAGCGATCCAGTTGTTTGTGTTGCTTGTGCAGACCCTTCAAGAGGAAAAATCATTCCCAAAGTAAAAGCAAAGCTCAGTCAATGTTTTCGGCGATGCCAAAGGCTCGTCTCTTGCCACATGTCACAGCAAATCAAACAAAATCAGTTGTTTGACTGATAATCATGCAAAATTGTATGTACGGTATTTAAAGCGGCGCAAAGAGTGGAAAAGATAACATTTGCCGTGATTCAAAAAGCTGCTAAGTGCTTGTGTGGTTTGGGTTATTCCAGGAGCTAAATATACTTTCTGATCACAGTTTTCCAAGCTGTTTAATGTGTGTAGTCGTTTTCATATTGTGTGAAAGTTATGGCAGTGTGGGCAGAAGCTCAGCTCCCACACATTTTGCTTTCAACCAAGTGGACTGAGGGACGCTATGAGCAAATCAAAAATGCAACTGTTAAATGCTGTTAAATGTCATTCGGCATCAACTGTAGTTATAGTTTTAAAAAATACACATTTAGTGCCTTAGAGGTAGCACTGATTTGAGTCTGCAAGGGAAAAACCTTGCCTATAAAAAGGAGGTGTTTATGGAATACAGATGATGCTGTCACATCACAGAATCCTGCTGCAAGCGTCCTGCCACACGAGTCAAGCTGAGCAGCAGAAAAAATGGAAAGAGAAAACATGAGAGGCTAGAAAGAGTGACAGAAGTCTGGAGAGGGATGATTGTCCAGTAAAAAAAAAAAAAAAAACATGGAAAGATGGCAGGAATGGAAAAAAGCTGTTAGGAAAATGAGTGAATTTTCAGAAAAGGAGAACAGCTGGAAGTGTAATTACTTACTGGTCGTTAAACTTGTCGAGGCAGGCGTTATCGATCCCGGGGAATGACATCATGGAGTCCACCAGATCGCTGGAATTTCCATTTTGATTACTGTGAAGCCAAAAATATACAACCAGCCTTAAATGAAAAGTAACTTTTGTGATTATTATGTCCATTTATTTTCCTCTGCTTATCCGGGGTTGGGTTGCGGGGGCAGCAGCCTATGACTTCCCTCTCCCCAGCCACTTGGGCCAGCTCTTACGGGGGAATTCTAAGAAGTCGTGTCCTGGGTCTTCCTTTGGGTTTTCTCCCAGTTGGACGTGCCCTGGTAAACCTCACCAGGGAGGCGTCCAGGAGGCATTCTAACCAGATGCCTGAGCCACCTCAACTGTCTCCTCTTGATGTGGAGAAGCAGCAAATCTACTCCGAGCCCCTCCCGGATGACTGAGCTTCTAATCCTATCTGCAAGGGAGAGCCCAGACACCCTGTGGAGAAAACTAATTTTGACCACTTGTATCCACAATCTCATTCTTCTGGACACTGTAGCTCATGACCATAGGTGAGGGTAGGAACGTAGATCGACCGGTAAATTGAGAGCTTTGCCTTCTGGCTCAGCTCTCTCTTCACCGCAACAGATCGGTACGACGCCCGCATCACTGCAGACGCAGCACCAAGCCACCTATCCATCTTACGTAACAAATCAAAAACAGTCTGCATAAGTGACGTTTTATTTGGAAGCTTCTTAAAGCAATCATCTGACGTTGCAAGGATAAATAAATTCAAACAGTGACATAAGAGACCCAAACAACCTGAGGAAGGGGGATGAAAGGAACTTCTGGCAGTTTTTCTTAGATCTAAGTGGATTTGTTTTGTCTGAGCCACCTCCCGCTTTGTAACTCGAGTAGAAATGAGCTCCTGAATAAATATTATGATCATTTAAATGTTGATGCAAACGGAGTAAGAGAGTAGATCTCGGGATCCTCGACCCAAAGTTTCCTTTTAAGTGCAATTCAAAAATCTTTCTCAGTCAAGCGATAAAGAACTGGGAGGAGATTCTTCATGCTGGAGCTTTAGTCGTTTTCCCACCGTTTCATGTCCCCTTGATCAAAAAGCAGAGCGTTCTGAGGATGAAGACATCTCCTAACATTCTTCATCTCTCCGTCTTTGATTTGCTATTCATCTCTTCTCCTTTGATCAATCACATCAAACTCACCTGTTTTAGCCCACGCCGCTGACTTTATATCTACTTGCTCTTCAACAAACTACAGCTTTAAGTTTATCGTTTAAGATTTCAATATGTCAACCTATGCGCATAATGGTAAGTTAGTTTTAATTCACATGTTTTTATTTCAAATTGAGATCAAGTTCATAATTTTACAATATCGTTCTGATCTGCATGGATGGCTTTCAATGTGCGGGGGAAAAAATGTGTTAAAACTATTTGGGGTGCACACAGCAGCAGAAAATACAACTCTGACCTGAAGAAGGAGTAACTTGGCGAGATTTTGTAGAGGGCAGGGCTTAGCTCCATCTCGGGATAGTGCTGCATGTCGCTCTTAATGGAGCCCAGGCCCATAGCAACCATCACAAAGAGAACAGGAAGGAGGACCTGGGAGATCAAGCCCTTCCAGTCTCGTCGGCTGTGGTGGAACCTCTTGATGAGCATGGCGGTCAGCTGCTGACAGGCTAAGGTCACGCCACTCTCTGTGGAAGAACTGGTCAGCTCTGAAGCAGAATGTGGACAGAAAAATAAAAGGTCAATCCACTGGGCTGTTGGTGAATACATCTTTTTAGGATGTGATGACAGAAAGCAAATTGCAAAAGGGAATTTAACTCACTTATATTGTCATTGAAGTTCTCGCTGGAGTCTGAAGAGAAGCTGTTGATGGATCCGGTATCAGAGAGCGTCTCAGAGATGGACAGCGGCTTGTCCTCAGCATCTGTGGTTTCATTGGTCAGATGAAGGAATACCTGCATAAAACCAGCAAGGTTATCAATACCAACTTTTTCTGCTGACGCACTCATTCTAGACTTTTTTCTTTATTTTGTGATATTTGTGCATACAAATTTTACAAATCTAATCTGACCTCCTCCAGAGTAGTGTCCGAAATGCCGTAGCCCCCCAGCCGTAGGTCGTTCAGGTTAGCATCCAGCGCGGACAGCAGGGAGCGGTACGAAGAGGCGTTGGCTGAGGAGAAGGGGGGCAGCGAGTAGACTGCGTCACCTCCGTGAGCTTCAGTCATGCGAGCTTCTGGTAGATGAGCTTGAATAAAGGACTTGAGTTCTAGATTGTCAACTGACTCTGATCCTGCATCTTGAATCTGAAAGAGGGGAAGGGTAAAAATTATATTTTACTCTGTTGAAAATTGTCCAACATTACCCCCATGTTAAAAAACACTTTAAGCTAGTGCTTTCAAACTGGTTTCAGTGGTTCTTGAGGCAGAAACTTGAGCGACGTCACGTTGGAAAGCACTCTGTCGCCCTCTGCTGACCAGAACCTGCACTTAACACTTGTGTAGTTTGTGTAGGAACACTAGTGGGAGGTCTCTACGTGCTTTACAACAACTGCTGTTTACTGTGTGTGAGAGCATCAGGTGAGTTGGCAGCACTGATGGTGACCTGCTTTCGTTGCCACTGGACTTGTAAGTAAAAAATGTTTTGTCCAACAGTGTGAATCATTTTCCTTAAAGGCTTAATTAATATCAATTGGCTCATATTAGCGTTAGTCTGTTGTTAGCGCTAGCTACGGCAGGTTGCTGCAGGGTTTTTTTACCCCCAAATTCCACTACCTCCGCTCCGGTCCGCCCCCGCCTTCCGCAGCCGCTCGCTTCCAAACTCAATTTTTACTGGTACCCGCTCTACAACGGCTCCGCTCCGGTGCGGAGACCTGAGGTGGGCAAACAAGCATGCGCGGGATTTTCGAGATCTTGCGATACAGTCCGAGCAATAAACGCGGATATTAGATCCAAACACCCGTTGTGTGGGAGAAGCATCGGCATGAACTGTTTAATCTGCCCATCATTTGTGTTGAGAGATCAGCAGTGTTTGGATCAACAAAGTGTGACTACTTTGATAGTAGAAACTGTATTTATGGCTTACTTTTGTGCATTTAAACTTCAGCCACCATTGATAGTTGTTAAAAGTTGTTAAACCTGTGCATATGAGACAAAAAACGCCTTTTGTTTATCGATTTATTGTGAAAAACGGAAGTTGTGCTTGCTCCTTTTCCTGTTGGGCGGTTGTGATTTCTGTCCATTTACGGCGGAGGTGCTCCGGCGTCCGGCGAGAATAGGATTGATTCTATTTTTGCCGGATGCCGGAACAGAGGGCGGCGCACGGCGCCGCACTGCCGCAGTAGTGGAATTGCTCTGATTGACTACAACGGGACCGATTTTGCTCCGGCGTTCGTGTCGGAGCAGAGCGGAGCGGAGGTAGTGGAATTTGGGGTTTAATACGGCAGTTGTAATACCGCTTTCAATCAGTAGGAGGGAGAAGAGGAAGTTGCTTCCATTTTCTTTGTTTGGCAACATGTGACTGATATATAAATGTGTGTGTGTGTGTGTGTGTGTGTGTGTGTGTGTGTGTGTGTGTGTGTGTGTGTGTGTGTGTGTGGTACTCAAGTATACACAGAAAGAAAAAGTCTGCAGAGCATCATTTGAGTGAGGATTTGGCCAATCAACAAGCTTTTCAATACACCTGATAGATATCAGACTGTTGCAATGTGTCAAATGCAGCACAGATAAAACCTGGGATTTATTTCCACATGAGCAGCCAAGCTTGTCCACAATAAGAGACGGTGAAATGTTACAATTTATGCTGGCCGAGATCTGTCCCTGTTAAGATGCACCAGAGATGTGCTCCTAGTCCCCAGACACCGGAGGTAAAGGCTGCAGCCGACAATCTCCTAACCGTCACATATGTTTATGCTACAACATGAAGAAGAGGCAACACTGGAATAACATGAAATATTTGATTAAAGCCGCGTTTTGCTGTGTACAATGACATCATGAAATGAAAAAAATCAATGAGAGTTTTGCTCAGTGTTCGTTGTTTTGCGCTGACATGGCTGAACCCTTGTAAGGATGATTACCTTCTTGGTGAGGGTGAGTTTGTAGCCCTGACCCAGCTTGTCTTTCAAGTAGAAGGGTGACCCGCTGCATTTTATGCCTCCTTTTTCCAGGAAGGCGATACGGTCGCTCAGTACTTCAGCCTCATCCAGGTGGTGGGTAGACATGATAATGGTGCGGTCTGAGAGATGACACAGAGATGGAAAGTTGCAATGAAAAGTAAATTCTGATTAAACCCTTTTAGTGACTGCGTTTAAACATGGTCTAAAGGTTAAAAAAGGTTAAAAGATTACTGCTTATGTCCAGTAAAAGCATGTAAATGTGTTTCAGCTACAGGCAAATTGGTAAAAACATGTTTATTTGCCACAGATGTTAGCAGGGAAATATGTTTATCAATCAACTTCAAATGTGCACATTAAATATAGATTTATAAAACAGAAAAAGAAAACAAAATACTATAATAAACTGGCAGAAAAGATTACAAAAGCTTTTAACAAATGATTAAACTGGACTTTAAAATGAAATACATTTTCTCTGAATCACATCTTTTGACAGAAATCAAGTAAAATGAAAGGAAGCTGTGGATAAATCATAATAATAAATAGAGAAGTTTGCTGAAAGTGGTCATGAATGAATTAGAAACGATAAAGTGGGTCCATTTCTATTGCATCTGTGCCTTATGCAAAAAGGAATTTAATCATCCCATTAAACTTATTGACTTTTCAGACCTTTAAAGTCACTGAATTAAAATAATGAGTTCTAGATTAGATGTTAGTAATCTGAACAGCCTTGTGAGTGTGAAAAGTCAAACTTCCTTCATGCAGAACCCTGATATTAAGGGCCCTGTGCTCTTTGTGCTAATAAAGTGTGTATTATTGTCCAAGGACTTTGGATTTGAGGACTGGCCATCAAAGCAAATGCAGGAGCCCACCGTCTCAATGAAAAATAGGTTTTGAAGATCACTGAAATATCTGGATCTGGAGCTTATTATAGCTGTTCAAATCTAAGTGATTGTGTTGAACTGCATGCAGAAACAAGTGAAAGACTGATGGTTTGCTTTGCTGCTTTGAGGGTTGCCGTTCTGGCTGCTCTCGTGACTGCCTGTACCTGTTTTTGTCTACATGTGTGAGTGTGTTTAACCTTGGTCAAGTTCCTATGCTCTGGGTCGCTGGAGCGCTGGCAATAAAGCTTATTCTGATTCTGATTCAGATGTACCTAGTTGTTTATGTGTGAATTCTGTATAAAATGCAAGAAAATTAGAAACTAAGATTTGTCTGAAAGCTTATTTTTGCCTAGAACAGAAAGATAAATCCACCAAGGCATGCATCAAAAATCAGTAAGGGGTTAGGTGAAATGGTGTTTAATAACTATGACAGCTGAAAGTCCAAACCCTGGTAGAAATATTTAGTGATGACCGAGTAAGCCTCTCTTAAAGACTGACTTTTCTTGTGCTGGATAACAATGTCCCAGATGCTGCGCCTGGAGCAAGGATCTACTCCTGTGGTGGGTTCATCCAGAACCACCAGGCGAGAGCCCCCTATGAAGGCGATGGAGATTGACAGCTTGCGCTTCATGCCTCCCGACAAGGTGCCGACCCGCTTGTGTCTGTGAGCATACATGCCCGTCTCCTCCAGGATCCTGGCAGGGGGAGTTAAACAAAAGTGTTTAGCATGGAGCTGCTGTGAACAATTTTCACTGCTTTACAACGCCGCCGCTGAGCTGTAGTTCGATCAGTTCCATTAGTTGCTCAGCAAGGGTTTCCAAACTCCACAAGAGAGGAACGACTTCCCGGCTTTTAGGTTTCAGGCCTAATGCTGCTCCTCTTCTATAATGATTTTTAAAAACACTCCAGACAGAGTCTGATGATGCAACACAGTTTAAGATGCAAATGCATGAAAAATTAATTACCCCAAACTATCACAAGTATATGCAAGAAGATGCAAAAAAACTTTAATGCATAAATTGTTTTATTATGCTCCTAATAAATTGTCGACGTGAGAAGCTATTTTATTGAAAATTAGTCTTTTTTTAATAGTGCCCTTTTATTCTTACCAATCGCAATAGTAGTAATTATGAAATGACTTGTTTTAGGACATAGAAGTCAGCTGGAAGAGAAAGTAGCTTTAAACGACAGGATTTGAACTCATTTCCTGACATGTAGACGACTCTACCACAACTCTACCGCTGACTCTGTTTGCTTTGCAACGTTGATGTTTTATCTCCACAAATAACACAAGCCTGGAAGAGTTCTGCTGCGCGGTGGAGTTGCTAGTGCTAATGGCTAGCTTCTACTAATAAAAACGTTCTCTTTAGTTTCCCGAATGCTAAAACAACAACAGCCTTCCCCACCACGAGTTGAGATGGGTGAGTCCATGAATGTTAAGTAACAGTGTGACGTAGATCTGTCAGACTTTTCTGGAGTGAGCATTTTTCTGTCCATTTCTTATCAGAAGATAATGCACAAAATAGGGGTAGAAGGCTATTTCATACACATTCAGCCTGCAGGCAAACTCAGGCCCTGTCCACACGTAGCGGGGATCTGCTAAAACGTAGATATTTTTCTACGTTTTGGCCTGTCATCCACACGAAAACTGAGTTTTTTCACACAAAAACGAATCTTTTTAAAAACTCCGGCCAAAGTGAAGATCTGCGTTTTCTCCGTTTTGGGTGTCTGCGTGTGGACAGACAAAACTGGAGTTTTAAGGTCTGCAACGTCACTTTCCGCGACAAAAAAATGCTGACATCACGTGTGCGACCTGTGTTTACACTAGCCGACAGCATGGATACCCTCAGAGCTGCGCTCTGTCACTACCCGATCCATCAGTTGTCCAAGCGCTTTCTGCTTGTTTGTTTTTGCAAGCAGAATTACAACTCCTTGCGGAAGACCACAGACGAAGGACGAGGTTAAGAACGGGGGAAGTACTGCCGCCTACAGGTCTGGCATGTCCTTAACAACGTATTTATCCGGGTACGTGTGGACAGAGTTTTTTTTTAAAACGCGGTGGTGTGGATGCAAGTTTTTGGAGGGGCGGATATTAGTTTTTAAAAAACCCGGCTACGTGTGGACTAGGCCTCAGAGTGACTGATCATTTTCAAAAATAAACGGAGCAGATTGTAAAATTCAATCAGTGTGTCGGACAAAACGTTACTGATAAATCACGCAAAAGCTCTGACGTTTATTCTTAACACATTTTCTTTCCTTAAGCGTATTAATCTTCCAGCTCTGGCTGCGTCGTCACTTACGTGCGGACTTGCTCGTGCAGCTCTTTGCGCGACCAATTGGGTGCTTTGATCTGGCCGTATAGCAGCAGGTGTTCCTTGGTGGTCATGTGATCAAACAGAACATCATACTGCATGCAGACTCCCAGCTCTCTGCGAACTTTGTCGATGTTGGCCTGCATGTCTTTGCCATAAACCTCTATGGAGCCCGACGTTGGGGCATAAAGCCCGGTCAGGAGAGACCTACACACAGAAAACGTTAAAATGTTGAGTCAAAGTGAGACAACAGGCTGTGACAAAACTTTTGTTACTATAAATTCCTTCTAGGGTCATTGTTTAATTTTATTCTGCTGCATGTTTCCCCGGTGAAGAGCATCAGCAAAATGAGTCCCATTTAAAATGTAAATGTAAGTGCTGCTGTTGATGAAGACCCATCAGACTAATCCCTACCACAGTGCATTTGCTGTGCCAGATTTGGACATAAAAATCTCCCTGTCAGCAGCAGAACACTAAAATGATTAAAGGGATGCATTTATCTAATCTCAAAAGTGCCCGTGAACAGTATATAATGGTTGCATCGTGTTTAAAAGAAGAAAATGAACAAATGAGATGCCCCACATACATGGTGGTGGTCTTGCCGGCTCCATTGTGACCAAGCAGCGAAGTGACATGGCTCTCGTAAAAGGAAATGTTGAGGTTTTGTATGGCTGCTTTGTCACCGTACATCTTGGTGAGACCATGCAACTCAACACCCACCGGGAGCTCCAAGAAATCCTCACCAGTCTGATGAGCAAGTGTGCTCTTGCCTGAAAGAAATATGGAAATTGAGGTAAATATTAAAGCAAAAATCTAGAGTTTTCCACTTTTCAGGAATTAAGTTTGATTGTCAGTTATCTATAAAAGTGATAGTCTGACACTGTACAGCGACATATTTTAGGCAATACAACAATTATATTTTGTTAAGCCCGCCCCCCATTTCATAAAGCCACATGCAAGTTGAATGAAGACTGCAAAGACACTGAGTCATGGAGCAGCTACGATCGCCTTCACAGCCACGAAAAATTCTGATTCCATGACTGCCTGCTTCTACTTGAAGACACATGAAAGTAAAGAAAGGTCTACGGACTAAACTTGCCAAAAAGCATCTCAAAGTCTAGCAAAAATGTCAACATTGGACCGTATTTTCAATGGTGGAAGGATCTCAGCATTCAACTTGAATGTCAAACAGATGCAGAGTTGGCAACATTTCATATGGACAAGTAAGTCTTTAAATTATATATGTGTGGATAAACAACATGAAATGAAAATAATTTTTATTCTATAGGTGTGCATTCACAAGAGGCATGAAAGGCCTCACTCTTAGCTTTATCGAGGAAGCAGAGAGAGGGCTTAAAGGTGCAATGTTATTTTTTTACCACCTTTAGGTAGTGCCCTCTGAGAAAAAAAACTCCTGATTTTTGCTTTAAAGGCGAGGTAGGAGTTCCTGGAAGCTTTTGAGCAGGTAACTTTTTGAAAAAACACAATTTAGAAATCCAACCCCACATTTTTTCAGCCCCTCCCCTTAGCCACACTTTCAGAATACAGCAGAATACCAGATGCAACGGATATTGTTAAACAGCCATGAAAACAATGTTATATTACTTTTTGAACCTCTTGTTGGCACCTTTTCAGCTATAATCCCTAATATAACACACCTACATAACCCTATAACAATGTAGCATGCTAGCTAATAGGGCTGTACTGCAAATGTAGCATGCTAGCTAATAGGGCTGTACTGCAAATGTAGCATGCTAGCTAATAGGGCTGTACTGCAAATGTATCGCCATCGTGATATCAGCATTTGCAATACACATCTCAAGGAACAGAAAAAAATCCAGAATGAATGGTAAGCTCAAATGTTTGCTTCACATAATGCATTTTGTTAGTCAAACAAAAGCATGACGTTTTTGACAAATCAAATAGAGTTCTTCACCCATTTGGCCAATCGGATGGGTTAGATGTCCACCCCCTGGGCAGACAGCACTTGGCTAGCAAACACGAGTTAGCTTCGTTCTGCTCCTTCTGCCAATTCTGCTTTTCTAAGCATCTACTGATTGCCTTTTCTTGTTCATTTGCTTTTTCCCTTTCCTCACATTTTCTGATCACAATTTTTGCTTTTCCCATTTTTTTGTGATTTTTTGTCATTTTTCAAATTTCTTTGTTTTTTATTTATTTTTTTGTTCTTGAGCTCAGTATTTGCTTACTTATTTCAAGTCATATCGTCATTGCAATATTAATCGCTGTTATCACACATCACAGGTTTTTCTAATATCATGCAGCACTACTAGCTAATATAGTTAGCTTGGCTCTGGCTTTGCTTGCTGTTCAACTGCTCCTAGCCGAGAGCGCAATTTGTGGTCGGGGGGGGGGGATGTACATTCAAAAATAACTTGAAGAGGTTTTTCCAGGACTGTACATTTGAGAAGTGAATAAAATTATTCCTTTTTTTTTCTTTGACAAAACATTTAATTTTTTGGAAGCCATCAGTATGTGAAAAGCATTTTAAGCAAATATGGCAAAAAAAAAAGCTCCAGGAAAACATGTCCTACTTTTAATTAACAATAGAATTAAGCTGGGATATGTTTAGCGTAGAGCTGGACGATATAGCCTAAAATCAATATCACGGTATATTGAGGATTTCACCTCGATAACAATAAATGGACAATAACTACAGGTATGCACAGAAACAAAAGCTGTCCACTAGATAGGGCTGTCACATTTATTATGTTGAGTCACATTTTTACATTACTCAAGGTGGTACAGCTTCTTAAAAGGACATGAATGTTGCCAACCTTCACACATCTTTTCATTTTTTTATTATCAAATTTATTGACATGGGAAATTTTTCTCGATAAAAGTCAGAAATTTCGATTACGACTAATTTTCGATTCAATGCCCAGCTCTAATTTAGCGTTACCTTTTCTTTTTCCTTCTGAGAGGACAGGCTGATTTTTCATGATGTTGGAAAAGAGAAGCCCTTTGGAACCCCTTGATCCATTGTTACTGAATAGGTTGGTCCAGAAAGAGAGCTGGAAGGGGAAGTACCATGGGGCTGGGATTCCATATTTTCCTGATGGATTTGGAAAAAATAAACAAACTCAATAAGATATAACAAACTACATGGTGAAATCCACCCCTATTAAAAAATATTGACACATTTACCTGGGAAAACCATACGAATGTAACCCCCAATGAAGAAGTACAGGATGGAGTCAATGAAGAGGAGCCAGCACAGCCAACCAAAGGACGCCATGTCTCCAGATATGGGCGAGGTATAGGAATTGCTCCACTGAATTCCTAAAGGAGTGACAAAAAGCACCCCCAAAAAAAGGTTACTTCATTCAGTTTGATTTTAAATAGGCAGCATGTTGATGTTTCCCAGATGATTTAACCTTCTCCTTGAGCCTCGTAGCGAGTAGCGTACTGGCAGGCGTAGCTGAAGCAGGTTGGGGAAAACAGACTCTGTTGGAAAAAAGAAAATGTATTAATGCTTTTGACCAGAGTTACATAACAAGTGATATGAAATTAGAACATCTACAGTCTCCATCTTCACAAATGAATTCTCACCAGAGCGCTCTTCTGGAAGAAGTTTAGATTGCCTTCCAGGGCCATGACCACGATGAAGGGAAAGAAGCAGAGAACGTAGAGGAGACTCCCACTCAGGCCAGCGATGTAGGTTTTATCAAAAAAGGAGCTGACCAGAAAACTGAAGGCAATGATGCTGAGACCGTAGTCGCACAGGTACAGGAAAACAAGGAAGCCATCACTTTTAGGCAAGATGTTTCCACACTTTAGCACTATCAGCAGGATGAAGATGGTTAACAACAGGTAGGCTGTGCATTCCAGAAACCAAGCGAAGAAATGGCTGAGTGGGTTGACCCCCATCATTTTCATATACTGTGAGGAGAAGAAGGATATTATATTGAAGACAAAAACACAACATTTTGTTAAAGATGTTGAGAAAACTCAAATCCGAGAGGCAAAGATTAACATAAAACACATATTTTGTTTTCAAGGAGACATATTATGACTAGTTTCTTAAGCTACAATAGTTCTATGGTCAATACAAAACATGTTTATGAAGTTCTTTGCACTAAATCCCTCTCACGTGAAACAATTTCAGCAGTTTTATTCTTGAAAGTTTCAGTACCTTCCAGAATGAGGCATTTCAGGGCTCTGTCACTTTAATAAAGCAAGCTGGAACTGGCCCACCAACCCAAACCCCTCTAAGGCTGCTTTATGCTGGAAAGCTCTGATATCTCGGGTCTCAGAGCCATTGCTTCTCCAGCAGCCGCTCTCTCTTGCACGTGAGAGGTAGTCCTATTCTACTTTCCCTATTTGTGACATCACAAATGGGGACTTATTGAAACGGCTCATTTTGGGCACATAACTCCTAAAACCAAACACTTATAGAAAATGGTCTGAGTGTCTATAGAAGCCGTAGAGACCAAAATTGCAGCACAAAATGATGCAAAGGTGAGTTTTGAACAATTTGACCCCTTTAAATCTTTTATCAGCCACTCTGGATTTCAGATTCCTTTTGTCAAAATTTTTACGAAAAAAAGCACCTACCTCATGTAGTCTCAGCTCTCTCTCATACACCAGTTTTTTCACAAAGTCAGCAACAAACAACATCCACTGTATCATCAGCATTAGAGGAAAGACAAAAAACATGGCTTCCAGGAACCTGGGGAATACAGAGAATCAGCTGTCAATCAAAATTCTGACACCCAAGAAGATGAATGAGCTCTTTAATCAGTCACTGGCTTGACAGAGTCGAAAGTGTTTCCCATAGCATCATTCCTCTATTAGTTGTAAAATTAATTCATCTAAATTCCATTTCTTCGCACCAGTCATGCCAGGAACCTCGTACGTAAGATTTAGATTTCGGACCTATTATGTCAGAATGTGTGATGCTGAATGAAGACAGCGCCAGACAGAGACAGCGGCCCCTCTGGTGTGTCTGTGATGAGATATCAGCAGTGTGTGTAATAAAGTCTCACACACACACACACACACACACACACACACGCACGCACACACACACACACACACACACACACACACACACACACACACACACACACACACACACACACACACACACACACACACACACACACACACACACACACACACAGGATGATTTAATACTGACAAGGTTGCATGTCGATAGATATTTTATGTCCAACTGATGTTAGACTAGGCAAATTTTGCATAGAGGACTGGTGTTTCTTTATGGAGGGTTATTTAAGGCCTGAGGGATGTATGAGTGTGTGTTCGGCTTATGCACGGCTTTGGAAAATGAATGCGCAATTACAGTGAATATTCATGCACATGGTCCAGAGCTAATTACAATGTGACAGGTTCTTGTGAATGACTACTTACTGTCATTCCCAAGTGGCGAATGAATAATGAAAGAGAATACATTATTCCACATCAATGCCAGTTTCCCCTCAGAGACAATGTGTATCCTTTCATGTTTCTTTTCACACATTTATGAATCAACTGTGAGCGTGCACGTTTGCATGCATGTTGGAATTGAGGAAACTCACTCGTCCCGCAGAAAGCATGGGTATGGGAAGGGCTGCAGCTGCACAGCTATGTCTTCTATTTTCTGACCAGTCTGGGTTTCAATGATGGCCCGGTCAATGTTCTCCTGAAGATAGATAAACCCCCGGTTGTAGCGCATCGTCCCACCGGCTGTGATGTAAGTGTCCTTTACAAAGTATGGCCGTCGCACTCTGTCAGTACGCATCACGTTGTCCATGTGCATGCGGATGGTGTATCTGACTTTGGGAGGCAGGGATGATCCTGAGAAGGATGGAGAAGATGTGGCCTTGCGCCTCTTTGATGAATCATTGGAGAGCTTGAAGATGACACCTTATGAACACACATCACAACGTTTTTATAATCTCCACTTTATGCGTTTCAGGACTGGTTTAGTTCATATTTACTCACTTGCATAAAGTTCACGCTCTATGGCGAGCTCCTGAGCTGCAGCGTCCATTTCCTCAGTGCTGTTGTAACCACGGTGACGGTCAAACTTGATACAGGAGGAGAGTTTCACCATCAGCGTGGACAGGGTGGTGATCTGATTAAGAATTTGTTTGTTCTGCTCCAGCATCTCTGTCAGGTTAGCTATGAAAGAAAAGAAAGAAAACTATCTTTTTTATAGAGCCTCTCAAGATAAAAATCACGAGGCGCTTCACAAAAACAAAACAAAAAAGGAAAGTATAAAAAAGATTTAAAAAAATTATTAAAAAATATGTTGAGAATGAGAAAAATATTTAAATTGTAATTTAACAAAATGTAAGGAAAGGGAGAGAGAAAATTAATAAGAGAGAGAAATAAGTGGATCCGGGAAAGGTGGAAAGAGCAGAATAAGGAGAGGGTGGTGACGAAAGTCACACAAACGCCAGCTTGAACAAATATTTTCAGCTGCTTTTTGAAGAAGAAGAAGAAGAAGAAGAAGAAGAAGAAGAAGAAGAAGAAGAAGAAGAAGAAGAAGAAGAAGAAGAAGAAGAAGAAGAAGAAGAAGAAGAAGAAGAAGAAGAAGAAGAAGAAGAAGAAGAAGAAGAAGAAGAAGAAGAAGAAGAAGAAGAAGAAGAAGAAGAAGAAGAAGAAGGAGGAGGAGGAGGAGGAGGAGGAGGAGGAGGAGGAGGAGGAGGAGGAGGAGGAGGAGGAGGAGGAGGAGGAGGAGGAGGAGAAGAAGGAGGAGAAGAAGAAGAAGAACCTCTCAAGATAAAAACTCACGAGGCGCTTCACAAAAATAAAAAATGTAAAAATATAAAAAAGAATTTAGAAAATGATTAAAAATATATTTAAAATGAACAAAAATAGACAATTGTGATTAAAAAATGTTAAGAAAGAGAGAGAGTGAATAGGAAAGAGGGAAATCAGTGGATCCCGAGGAAGGTGGAATAGGTGGGGAGAGCAGAATAAAGAGAGAGGTGAAGAAGGTCATACAAAAGCCAGCTTGAACAAGTGAGTCTTCAGCTGCTTTTAAAAGGAGACCACTGAGTCCACTGATCTCAGGCTCAGGGGGAGGGAGTTCCAGAGTCTGGGGGCCACAGCAGCAAATGATCTGTCACCTTTGGTCTTTAGCCTGGTGCTGCACAACCAGTAGGCTTTGATCACTGGACCTCAGGGACCTGCTGGGGGTGTAGGGACTAAGAAGATCACCAATGTAAGATGGTGCTTGTCCATGTAAGGCCCTATAGACCAGAACCAGGATCTTGAAATGAACCCTGAAGTTGACTGCTAGCCAGTGAAGCTGGAGGAGAAGCGGGGTGATGTGGGTGTGTTTGGAGGACTTGGTCAGAAGCTGAGCACAGGCATTCTGAACCACCTGTAGGCGGTTCAGGGAGGTTCTGCTCAGACACGTGAAAAGAGAGTTACAGTAGTCTAAGCGTGAGGAGATGAAGGTGTGGAGAACTGTCTCAAGTTCAGAGCGGGACAGAATGGGACTCAGCTTAGCAACGTTCCTGAGATGGAAGAAGGAAGAGCGAACAAGAGAACTGACATGAGAATCCAGGGTGAGAGCTGGGTCAAAGGTCACAACAAGATTCCTGACAGAAGGTTTGGTGTGAGAAGCAAGCTGACCAAGAGAGTCTCTGACTTTGGGAACCAGCTTGTCTGGGGCACAGATGAGGATTTCAGTCTTATCTTCATTCAGCTGTAGAAAGCTCCCAGCCATCCAGGTTTTGATAGAGTCTAAGCAGGTGTGTAACAGCTGCAGCTTAGACATCTCATGGGGCTTAAAGGAGATGTACAGTTGGATGTCATCTGCATAAAGATGGTAGGAGATTCCTTTGAAGGAGCTCAGGGTGTGCTGAAGAGGAAGCAGATAGAGGAGGAAGAGCAGAGGCCCCAGCACAGAACCTTGTGGGACACCATGGGTAAGAGAGGTGGTGGAGGACCTAAACTTGGAGACGGCCACAGAAAAGGAGCACTCAGAAAGATAAGAGGAGAACCACTCCAGAGCAGTTCCTGATAGGCCTACGTAGTCTCTCAGCCTCTCCAGTAGCCTCTGCATTGGTGCTTCAGGCTGCGAAGGCTGTCATTAAACCAGGGAGTAGGGTTCACTGCAGGAACTGATCTGGTTCTGACAGGACAGATTTTGTCCAGAATGGAGATGCAGTGCTCGTTAAACTGAGAAGTTAAGGAATCTGGGTCGTTATCAGAAGAACAGGGTGGATCAAAAGCAGCAGAAAAATTGCTAGCTGTGCTCTCATTCAGAAAATGAGAACTAACCATATGGCGAGCAGGAGGTGGGAACGCAGAAACTGACAAGTTAAAGAAAATGCAATGGTTATCTGAAATATAATCGTCCTCAGGACAAACAATGTCAGCATTTAGACTCAGGGTAAAAACAAGATCTAGAGTGTGTCCCCTGGTGTGTGTGGGGCCAGAAACATGCTGGGTAAAGCTGAAGGAGTCCATAAGGCTGGAGAAAGTCATGGCAAAGTGATCAGAGGGATCATCGACGTGGAGGAGACCACTAAGTCCACTGATCTCAGGCTCAGGGGGAGACAGCTCCAGAGTCTGGGGGCCACAGCAGCAAATGATCTCATAAAATAAATATTAATAAATAGAATACATACAGAGCTGAAAAAACCCAGAAGTCAAAACAAGATGTCTCTGCAATGCAAGCAAGGTTTATATTTAAAGAGCGAGTTCACTGATGAATCATTTTTGCTCGTTCTTACTGAAATATTATCAGTCACTCTGAGTTTTGCATGCTCAGATTAGAAAAAGCCACACAGTTCTACATCACACTGCAAATTCGCCCATCTTGGCTTGCGACGGGGAAGGCTGCATTTATTCAGCAGCCGGGAGAGAGCAGAGTGCATGTTGGGTAGTAGAAGCTAACCGTTAGCGTTAGCAACTCCACAACATAGCAAAACTCCTTCAGGTTTGTGTTATTTGTGGAGATAAAACATCAACCTTGCAAAGCGAAATGAGGCAGTGGAAGAGTTGCCTTATTGTTAACCAATTAGAGACGAGATGCCCGATTATCATGAATAATAATGAGTAAGACTCCAAATCCTGACTGTCCGGGCTCCACCCCCACCACTTTCACCATACTGGGTGCATTCAGATGGTCAGTCACCTGGAGCCCACCTCCCCCGCGCGCCACCATGCCCTGTTATTTAAAGAGCTCCAACATGAGATGAACTACCATCAGAGAGGGTTACACGTTGGGAAGTTTTCGTTTCCAGGAGCAACACGGAAAGAGGTATGCGCAGACTGTTTAACTGGTTGTGACGTTGTCTGGGTGGGAATATTGACGCAAAGTTAGGGCTTTGTTTGAGCTGCCATGTGCTGTTTTTGTTGTAATTGTTCACTCAGCTGGTTTAACAGTAATCCATACTGGAAGCACTGGGCTGGAATGTAAATGATCCCTGGAGCACTGTCAGCTCCAGTCTTCACCTGCAGCTATTCTGTTTTAATTATTGTAGGCAAAGGAAATGCATGTTGTTTTATAAATGGCATATTAAATAAAGGTTTAAAGTTGTTTTACAAAAAAATAAAATAAAATCCTGACCAACTTCTACTTCCTGAAACAGGAGTGTCAGAGCTTTTAGCCCACAGAAATCGATTTACAAGGCATTAATTTATCACAAATCACAGCAAATGTGTTGAGAAAAAGAGTGAACTTGGTCTTTCAAGAAATTACAATCCTAAAAAAACAATAATGAAAAAAATCTGAGCCTTTATGGAAAAACTTTTTTTCTTTAACAACATTAAATCCAGAAGATTTCTAGCATTTTAGAGAATATTTTTTCTTGTCTTTACACCAAACAGATGGAATAACTTCTCAACCTTGCTGCTCTGTCATTCAGAGGAGCCACTTTGATTCAGATCAGTTAAACCCTTCTGAACAGTTTTAAATATCACAGATTTAAGACTTTAAGCTAACTTAGTAATGAAGCATTTGTTTAATAGGTGTTATTTTAAATTGTGAATTTAACTTTTAGTTATATTCCATTTAACTAAATATAATTATTGCGTTTAATAATTTTGCACACTTTAATATACAGTGTAGCTGTGTTATTCCACATAATGCTAGTTACCTGAAAATGAAGGAATCTTAACAGCATTCACATTTATTTGGGTTGGAGTTGGAGGGAGCATGCAATAAAGCAGGGGCGGAGCTATGAGTTTGACAGAGTGCCCACCCACCAGGGGCAGGGCCAGGCAGTAGCTTGGTGTTGCTATTGCAACACCAAGATGTGGCCAAGCAAGCAACTGCTTAGCAACCCCAGTTATGCTGTAACAACAGTTACAATTTAAAATGTCTACTTTAATGAATGTGCACTTTTTTCACTGTGTAATAAAAATACTTTAACATTTATATCTGGTATTAATTTTAATCATATTATAAATAAGTTTTCCGGTTTGCTTGTTGGAGTTGTAATTTGGTCTTTTATATATAAAAAAGGCGAATTGGCACCTGCTTATTGACACTAAGCAACTATTAACCTTCTGCAGAGAGAATATTCTGATGCCATCCCTGCCACCCAGTGAGGTTCATGATTTTTTTTTTCTCAGAAGCGTCCTCCTGCCCTGGACTTCTCACAGCTGAACCGGGCATCTCCCGGAGTCTGCGGAAGACACAACTGATATTGTCAGCGGTGTAAACTGAGAAAGGACTGGGTGTGAGGGGGAGACAGACGTGCAGAGCGCAGCGGACACGCAAGGACCTTTTCAGGGGTCGGCAACCCGCGGCTCTGGAGCCGCATGCGGCTCTTCCATCAGCTCTCTGTGCTTGTAAAATAATGAATGGATACTTAAATAAAATGTTTTATATTTTACTGCATTAATTTTATATCTGTATGCCAATTCTAAATGTAAAGATTGTCTGCGTAAACCTGAACAGTTCCAACCCGGTCTTACTGTGAGACCGGGTTGACGGGTCACGCTTGTGCGTAATCATATCGGCGCATTCTGAGCTGAAGAGGATGTGAGATTCTGGGATTCTCCTCAGACAGGCTCCTGGATGTGTCGCCACATTGGAGACAGGAACAAGCGCTATTCAGCCAAAGTTTCATCATCAGGAACATTTTCTAAGTGACAAGTCTCTCTGAGAGACAGGCTTTGGAAAACGGTCGCTTCAGTGGGAGGAATATTCCCGCATGGCTCTGGTTCTGCAACGCGCTCAAAGCCCCTCTCCACATCTTCAGCTCGCTGTGCACCTCATGTACGCGCTGACAGTGAGCTGCGCTGAGCGGTGTCCAGCTCAGATGTTCAGATGGGAATCTTTTCTTGGGTGATTTAGCTACATCTGCGATGTGCGAAACGAATAAAATGTCAGTTTGTCTGCATGCGTCGGGGTAATTCTTTCTATTCTTTCTCCGTCAAAATAAACGGTCAAATACGGGAACTATGCGATCAACACAAGCCCTGCTTTTAACTGTTCTGTTTTCTTGTGAAAATTGTTGCAAAGAGATTAAATTTAACTTGATTAACACCAGAGCCAGGCGCACTGCGCCGTTATCTCCGTCACTGTACATGAGGGAAAAACAAAATGATCGGATCCTTTTCTGACCTTCCCCACCTACAAAGTTTAATTACAACAATCAAACGTGACAGAGCCTGGATTTGTATTCTGAACAGTCTAAACATGTTTTAAAAAGAAATATTTTTGACAAAAGTGGCACCTGCTCAGTAAAACCACCAACGGTGAGAAATATCAAAATATTGTAGGCAGAGACGGGCTACAACTTCTGGATCCATTTTATACAAATCATTTTATTGATTAACTTCTGTTGAAAGATAACTTTTACGTACACGAGCGACCGGTATTGGCTGCTGTCACCTGTTGTGATTGGTTAAAGCAGCTCTCTGCTGTGGCTCCCAGTGTTTTCTTTACTGTGGGAAACAGGTAATAATGGCTCTTTGATGGGAAAAGGTTGTCGACCCGTTTTATCTGATGCTTTTCCTCGCACTTACGTTAATCCGGTAAAGGAAACGATAGTTTCATCCGGGTATCTCGTCGGATCTGCTTTAGTCCTCTAAGGCCATTTAATTTGGTTCGGTTCATTTTACTGTTGTTATCTGAACCGGGGGTTCGGGTGGAAGATCCCAGAGGTGATGAGTCATCCCAAACCGCGTCAGTGCGTCGCTGTCCGTGGTCCTGAATGAGACAGAGCCCTTGAGAACTGGCGAGGATTGGGGGGTGTGGTCGGAGGTGTATGCTGCTTAGTCAAGGTGTGTGTGTGTGTGCGTGTGCGCGCTTGGATCGTGCTTGCTGATTATTCCCTGGTGGAGGGCACGGTTGCTGAGAATCATCTGATCTGATCTCTTGTTTTGCACCACCTCCTGCTGCATCCTGAGCTATCTGGAGCATGAAGAACAGTCAAAAATCCTGATTTTTGAAGCATGCGATGACCTCTGGCAAGCTGCAGTCTTTTGGATCTTCAGCTCTTAGCCGATAGCCTGCAGCTAGGATGCTGAGACAAGCTCGGCAGTACGCCTGGCTGAGATTAGAACCTGTCAGAGGTCCTGAAAGTTCACACGAGAGAGTGTGCAGGTCTCGGCCCAGAGCGGGAATCCAGCGTCGGCAACAGTCCTTAAAATTGAAATTTAACAGAGATCCATGGAATATCCATCCATCCATCCATTGTCTGAACCTGCTTGTCCATGTAGGGTCGCGAGGGGGGGCTAGTGCCTATCTCCAGCGGTCAATGGGCAATCAGGCAGGGTACACCCTGGACAGAGTGCCAGTCCATCGCAGGGCAACACAGAGACACACAGGACAAACAATCATGTATACACACACTCACACCTAAGGCCAATTTAGACAGACCAATTAACCTAACAGTCATGTTTTTTGCGGGCTGTGGGAGGAAGCCGGAGTACCCGGAGAGAACCCACGCATGCACAGGGAGAACATGCAAACTCCATGCAGAAAGATCCCAGGCCAGGAAGCCAACCCAGGACCTTCTCGCTGCAAGGCAACAGCTCTAACCACTGCGCAGCCTGATCCATGGAATAAGCATCTAATATATAATCTTCTATCATAGGATTATTTGTGGCTTGAGAGACTTTATTAAACCATGTTATGTTGACAAGCACGCGCGCAGCGCACATCTCATACGAGCTTTGAAATTAAGATTTTTCTATGCCCACCCATTTGCTACGTTCTGGCTCCGCCACTGCACTAAAGTAAAAAAAATAGGTCAAAATAGGCACTCCCCATTAAATTGTGATGGATTTACAAGACCTCTAAGTGGTTTTTTAGGTTTTACCACTGAAAAATGTTTGCTGATGATTGCATGCCATGTTCTACTCTGTTACATTTTAACAAAGACTGATATTTAACCTGACAATAAGCTCAAAATTCAAAAATATCTGTGTCAAAGCTCAACCTGATGGGGAAAAAGTGATCCCCACAAAGAAAAGACAGCCAGAGAAATAGGTTTTGTGCTTTGTAACCTATTTTCTGACATACGTGAGATTCTAATATAAATTTAAGACTGCTGTCTGCAGCTTAGAAAAGTAAGGCTCAGAAAATTACTCACAGAAGTTGTTGAGCGTTGCTTTTATACTGTCGACATTTATGCCTGTTTGCATCTCAATGAATCTCTTCACAAAGGGGTTGTTAAGGGAGTTCTGGCAAGAAGATGGAGAGAGAGAGAGAGAGTGAAAAAAATATGAGCATCATCAAAATTCAGCTGCTGAAACTCACTGAAGACCACTGCAAAGTGTATCTCTAGATTTCCAGACTGCAGCAGGGAATAATCAGATATAAAGACTGCAGATCTGAGTTTTCATACCTGCAGAATTGGCAGAGTGGTGCTGAGAACGCTGGCAGACTGCAGGAGGTAATTTGACGATTCGATCCAGTTCTCCGAATGTTTCTTCAGATTTGCAAACTCCTGCAAGGTGGCATTGGCCTGGACAAAGTCAAGACAAGGACAAGAAAGTGTGAAAATGGTTGTGTTTGAACAAATAAATAAATTCACACCCCAGAGTGTTTGTGTGCATGGCTGTTTGAGTCTGTGAAGACTCGGGTACTGAAAACAAAGTCAGACTTTCTGAAAATAGAAGCACGCTGCGCATACAAATATATTTATACACCTTGTGCAACTCTAGTGTTCCTTTTTACCTCTTGCCAGTGGGGGCGCATAAAGACAAAGAAGTTACTATGACCTAGAAAGTCTTCAAATAGCAGTGGAAGCAAAAAACAAAGAGAGAGACATGATGGAGGAAACAGAACATTAGCTAATTTACTTTCTAAAAGTTAAGTTGGTTCATTAAATAAAGTGCTCAGGCTTAAGTAGAACAAAGGAAAGCAGGGATGCTCACACAAAAGGTGAGTTGAGATCAGTTCTGCAGACTGCAGGCAGGCGAGTACCGTAAATAATTAACCCACCTTAGTCAGCAAAATTTCATATTGTTGTCAGTCAGCAATAAAGTTGCCCACATATACATTCTGCTAATAAATCATAAAAAAAATGTGTGGTGTAGCATGAAGAGGGGGTGAGGTGTCCATCGTTGTACCTTCTTCATGATGTCCCTGGTGATGGGCGTGTCTGGAGTGAAGAGAATATGTCCCATCAGCATCGGTTTGAGGAACGCCCAGGCGATGGCTCCTCCTGTGGTGTTTACCATGTCCAGGTACATGTTCATACAGAAAGACGCTGGAAAAAAAAAAAACAAGAGCATGAAAAGCTGTTTAAAGTCTCATGAAGATCTACACTCATCCTCGTGTCGACGTACAGGAATCTCTTGGAATCTTGAACCTGTCGATCAACTCCTCCCTCTGTTTGTTGTTGGCAAAAGAAGAGCCCGACACGGACAAGTCGGGAATGCTGGAGATTCCAAACAGGGCTAGAATACCGTTGCTACACAAAGCACGGGACAGGGTGACAAATGTAGCTCGGTTGGAGAAGCTGGACCTCATCTGGGCCTAAAAAAATGTAAAACAGCCTTTTTTTTTTTTTTTTTACATAGAGAAAAATGCATGCTGCCAGATACGGAGTTATGAATCAATCATAGTCATAAGAGCCACAGTTTGTATAAAAAAATATAAGTATATCTCCAAAACATTTACATTTCTGTGTTTTGCATGCATGGAAGTTAACATGACATGCAGAAACAATACAAACATGAAGTTTAAACCCCATAATAAAGGTCTGATGAGAACATACACTGCTGGGTGCCATGTTGAGGTCTTGGACAGAGCGCACAATGCGTTGCAGCTGATTGACAGCAGGGGCAATCGTGTTCATCGCTCTTGTTGCAAGCTCAGTCGCCTGCAGCAGGAGTTGGACCAGGCCCTGGATTTCATCAGACAACACAATCTGCAAGAATGGAACCAGCATATTTTTATTTTCCTTGAGAGTGCCCGTAAATGGTAAACACCCTGAATTGTTTTCATTTTCTTTTAAAATGTAACTAATGCTCTCTGGCACCCTTTAACTTCAACAGGATAACAGAATTGTGTTGTTTCTAGGAGAATTAGAGTAAAAAAGATCTAAAGTCGTACTCTGTAGGCGAGTTTCTCCGTGTTTATGTGTTGAGCCAGCAGCAGTAACAACTTGTAAAGCTCTCCAGCAGACATGGAGCAGAGGATCTTTGATGTGTTGGAAGACGATGTGCCGTTGCAGTTTTGCAGGTTCGCCAACAAAGACAACATCTGTGTCAAAAAGCATTATGGGACACAAAAATCAGCCATGCAGCCTAATGTAATACAGAATGGTTATGCTTTAAACATCTCATCCTGTTCATGTTAAATGTCTCTGTGACTTCTTACCTAATTTGATAGTGATTTGGCACAGACATGCGAGCCATCAACAGTGAAACAACAATAAAAAAATTTGGGAAACATTAAATAGCTGATGAATTGTAGGTATTCTTGTCAAAGTGGCTCACCTTGGCATTGCTGGTTGGGAATGGGGCTTCCATTAGTAGGGCAAGAGCTGCAGGATCAACATTCAGGTGTTGCTCAGCAGCCAGAATAAAAGCTGTTTGGTTCCTTAACATTTTCCCAAATGTCACCACTCCTGGAAAAAACATATTCATGAAAACTTCACGTTGTGACATTAAATAAACCTTTCATTTAAATCCCCAAAATCAAATTCTTAGCAAAAATACGCACAGTTTGAAAAGAACATTTAGTTTAAAGCAAGTCCAGCTTTCGAAAATGTGTTTTCAAGGGTTAGCAAAGAAAAACTTTTTTTCTTTTGAATTTTCTAAGGTTTAGGGTCACTTAAATACTTCAGATGACATTTTAATAAACACAATGAATGCTCCATGTTTCAACCTTAATGTTGACCAATCCCCTTCGAATTGCAGCAAGAACCTTCTGAGTGAATGGAGGACTCTAGATTTGTGTTCTGAAGGAGACCCAAATACAAACTGGAGATAATATAACAGCTTCTTTTGAAATTAAATTAAACAAATACCGGCAGGAGATCTTAGCTTTAAAGGAAAATTTCATAGGCCGGGGTCTAATTCAATACAGGTGGTGGCAAAGACTCAGCGGGTGAAAGGAAACTGCATTAAGAAAACTATTAAACAGATACAAACATAAATAAGTAACACAAACAAGAAGCAAAGATTTACAAGTGAAAACCAAGCTGAAAACAACTACAACAGTACAAAAGAAAAATAAGCTAAAATCCAAAAGATAGATGGATCTGGTGGGTGTTTTTCACAGACTGAGAACCTCACCTGGAGAAGAGATGTTTAGGGGTTTCAGGCTGCTGGTGTCAATGCCCAGGATTTGAGTAAACGCAGAAGACCTAGAAAAACAAACAGTCACACCCATGTAATAAAATACGAGCTAGCAATAATAGCATATGAATACATAAAGGATCTAAAGCTCCTTATATGCCCATTACCAGTTTGACTGGAGGTTGTAGCTACTGGGATCGCCAATGAGAATTTCTGTGATGAGTCCCGGCAGAGAGCTTGTGTTCGCCTGCAGATTACTGGCCAAGATCTGCATACTGGGCACCACTGTGTTGCAAAGCTGCCCATGTTGGATGGACATGGTTTCCAGTGTGACCTTCACAGTGTTCACGTCCTCCACCGTACACACCTAAAACACACAGACTGGATTTTAACTCATCCTAACATTCTGCAAAACCCTCTCTCATCCACTTTGAATTGACTGTAGCCTGATCAGTTTCAAGCTAAACACACATCATCAATGAAAGTATCATAATAGAAGGACAAACCTGCAATTTGAGTTGGTTTAGTTGCTTTGTGAACTGTGGGTCTGACGGGCTGATCTGAAGGAGCCGAGTGGCTGTTTGAACGGTTTGCCACATGAGCGTCAGGTTCTCTGTGGTGGGTCGACAAGACAAAAAGACAGAGGGGTGAGAAATGAGCTGAGAGAGACGCTGGAATCTTAAGGAGCGAGGTCTGCGAGGCATCGTGGCATCCCACTGGGCTTCATTATGACACGCACCATTACAGGTTAGCGGTGTCGAGCAACAAGCAGCAAATGATGTGCATAAAGTGATGCTCTGTGCGGGACTGATGGGGCCAGGAAGGCCAGCTGCACTGGATGCTGTCGTGCATTAAAAAACATTTGACAAGCCCTAAGAAAGGCATCACCTAGGGCTGCAAGATGAGATGACAGCATGTTCAATTAGTCCAAAATTAGACAATGGTAATGTTTCATCTCAGGCTGCTCAACACCTAGAGGCCTTTACAGTCACAACAGTTTGCAGAGTGTGTTTGCATGAGAAGAATGTGAGTGGGACTGCAGAGATGCAAAGCTGCTTGCATATGACTCAGTGCACACAAAAAAAATTATCATGCAAACACAGAAGCAAATTAAAAGGAGGTCATAGATGCCCACTTGTGTGAGTGCAAGGGGAGATGTTTAGCGAGGGTGGACAGGATAAGTGATTGAATTCTACTTTGCTAATGAGATTTTAAAAGGTGCTGAGTGGGTTTCTGCTGGAGATGGGCCATGTGGCTTTGGGCTCTTTGGGATCTCAAGCTTAGCTGATGTGAACTCTTATTCTTCATCTCTCCAGAAAGAATACGTGAAACGCCGTCATCGTCTGTACGGTTACAAGAGCAATAACAAAATGTTGTGTGGTCTTCTTTTGGTCTTGCAAAAGCTATGAATTATTGCGTGGCAGCCTTCCAAACTGCATGGCTGTTTAATAGCATGCGTGTAAATCCGTACGGTCACAGAGAGTATCTGAACACAGGCTTCAGTGTGATGGCTGCTATACAGCAGAGTGGAGTGGACTCAATGTGAAGTAAAGCAGAATTCATTTTAGAAGTTTCTTTTAAGAAATAAATCACACAATCTTTAGGGTCACTAAAGTGAAGCCTGGTTTGCTTTGATTAGTCAGCAGAATGATCCAAACCCATAGAATATGAAAAAGCTGGTCGATCTTTAGTTACGGCGGATTATTTACCGGAAAAGAAAAGCAAAGAAAGACCTGGATGACAAATGAGCATCGTTAAACTTGCTTTTGTTTGAACGTTGGCCTCAATACATCTATAAAGTTTATATAATGCACTGAAGGGAAAGAGGAAAAACACAAAAGGCATTATTTAAATTACCTGGAGATTCACTGGCAAGCTTGTTGGCGATATTTTTAATCCCAGTGGAGTAAGGGATGCCATCGGGGAGTGTGTTTGTAGCATTTAAAAGGAGGTCCATTGGTGGGCTGAGAAAAGCAAAACAAAAAGTGTTTATGAAACATTGGTCAACAAAAACAAGCGTATTTATAAGATTTATCTCAATTTCTGGACTAATTTAGATCAAAGGAACAATGTAGAGCAAGCTGGGATCTGATTCTTCTCCTCTGGCATCTAAAGCTACTTTTGCAAAAGCGATACTCACGACACTAAAAGCTGAGGGTGGGTGAGGAAAGAGACCATCCCAAGGGTGGCGTCGATGGTCGCCTCCCGTGAAGCATTTAAGCTCCACTGCATGTTACTCGAAGCTCCTTTAAGCACAGCGTTCAGATCGGCATTGGCAGCAACCACATGGGCTGTGTCTATTACTTCTGCCGTGGTCGGAGAGACAAACACTGCTTGGTACATGGCTGGGTAGTCAATTTGGAACATTCTGACAATATCATCAAAGGGCTGTGGGATCACTGTCGTCACCGCCGAGAGGTCACGTTTTTGCCTGCTCCTCGGGTTTTGTTGACTGCTCGCCTGAAACACGGTTTGTTGTTGGTACACGAGAGGCAGAAGATCACTGACGCCTGCAAACTGCTTGGACATCGAAACGATGTTCCCAGCAAGTTCTTCATACAGTAACAGATCCACGGGCACTCCAACACTCATACTAGTTAGGACGGAGAGCACAGGCCTGACAATGTCATATGTTTTGGAGAGCACTTGACTGAACAGGTCCAGCCCACTTGCTTGAGTTGATGTCAACCAGACAGACATGTCAAAAAAACCTTGCGCCATCACGTTTGTGCCATCGACTGACATAAACTGCTCCAAGGCCTGGTGAACGTCCGGGTAACTCCCAAAGACATTTGTGTTGATCATGAGCTTGATAGTTTCACTGATCAGGTCAGCGAGAAGCGTCTCGTTTGGAGCAAAAGCAGTTCCCCACATGGAGGACAAGGTGCCATCTGAGGTGAGGTTAGCAGACATTAGGAAGATCGCAGCCGCTTCTTGGAAAATATTTTGGAACGAGCCGTTGTTTTCAATGTAGCTGTAGTTTTCCAGGACGTAGATCCCCGTCTTCACCAAAGCATTGATGTAAGGCTGCAGGAAGGGAGCCTCTTGGAGCAACTCTCCAGAGTACTGTTGGAAAAGCATCAAACTGTAGAAAACAGAAATATGCTCAATTTTAAAACCAATTCCTTTTGATGAAATTTCATTTCAAATCATCAGCATGAAACAACTAATTTTCTGGGAATTTTCTAAGCAAAATAAAGACATTTTTTTGCATTTCGAATCTATTTCTTCAACTCAGTGATTTCATATTAATGAAAATTCCCATCGTCTCATCCACGATCATAAACCTCTCCAATAATCTCTGATCTATAGCTGGTGCAGTAAGGCCTTTTTAGACTCCCTGGGATATGCGGGACATGATCTTTAGCACTGGGCCTGGCTCGTTATTGCAGACGGCATAAAATAGGAAATCAATTTTAAGAGGATGTCTCAGCTAGCTGAATCATATTTAAGCTACATTCTGTTTTCAGGCAGACCTGAGTTAAATTAATCAAATCTGAATGCAAATGTGATATCTTCGATTCCTTGTGTAATTACGTATGAGTCAAATGGGTTTGACTGCTGCATTGTGGATAATTTGGTGACAGCAAATTGAGTGGTGAGGTCATGGTGAGTTCAGGTCTGCTGGAGGTGATGCTTTTGTCTTCGGGTCTGTGTGGAAATGCAGTGAATTCTAAAGAGAGGCTGGAGGACTTATGGAGAACGTTTGCACATTTTAGTGCAATGCTGGCATGTTAATACGCTCTTGTTTTAGCATGTTTTCTCTCAAAGGATTAGGGTTTTAACCAGTTCCAATGCATTTCTTTTAAAAAAAAAGGGGAAATTTTCACCCACCATATAGAATAAAACATTAAATGTGCTAACTTTATACAATGTCTTGTCAAAAACCTTTCATTTAAATACGTTTATCTAAGACAAGACATTGTTTTAGCACTCATAAAGTCCAGTTGTAGCTGACCTGTGTTGTAGCTGCATGTCCTGGAGCTGCATGGACCAGTAAAGCTGCGCCTCAGGGCTCAAAGGCAGGCCTGTCAGCCCTGAGATCTGGCTGGAGACAGCCGTGATGAACTGCTGTATCACAAGTGTCTGGTTAATGCCGACTTCATAAAGGGACTGCATTGTTTCAACAATCCTGTCGGCTGTGGCGCTTGCACTCATTGTTTCCATGGTTGTGATCTGTAAGGAGGACATGTAGCAGAGATGAGCTGGAAGCAAAAAAAAAAAAAAAAGCTGTTTTCTCCGTGTTCCAACATTGCCACCAAGTGGTGAGGCTGCTATTTCCACTTATAAAGGCATACAAAACAACTGTTTCCATTTTTTTAAATCCTTTACTTGAGCCAGGAGGAGCTAAAATGTCCCTTTACAGGGTGAATGAAACCACTCTACCACTTGTGAGCTGGATTCCCTATTGGCAACTTCAGCCTCTCTGGACCGCTCACCTGAAAAGTCACGTTTTACAGCGATCAATGTGTACATCTCAGGAAAGATGAGCTATACCTGGTTAGCATTCATTGTAACTCGGTGGAGCCTCAGAGGACACAAAGAAAACAATTATCTGATGAAGCTAAAAAGAAATAAAAAAGAACGTCTGACCACATCAGGAGTCAAACGAAAGTAAACATCGGGAATTTTCTGAACCGTGAGAGCTCAGAGACATGATTCCTGCATGTTTTGCATCTTTAGTGATGTACCGCTCCCGTAGAAACTAATAAAGGCTGAGGAGACATTTCAGCAGTAAGATTAAAGTGTTAAAATCACAAACGTGCAGCGAGGAGAGTCTCAGTTTTGTTTTTACTGCAGTGAATAAAAACAGACACTTTGGGGGTGCTAAAAGCAAGCCATAACAGCAAAGTTTCCCTTTAAATTAGACATATTTTGTAATGACATAAATACAATCTTAAATGTGTTCGTGTTTGTCTTTGTTGGTTTGGTATGCTTCTACTCACGTTCATGTTCAGGTTGGTGAAGCCAATCTGAGCTGCGGCATTAGCCTCAAACACAGGAAGCAGATTGGCTTCGCACCACAAAGCAAGAGTGGAACTGTTCAGTCTTGCAGCCACTCTGACAGGCTCCCATATACCGAGGGTCTCTGTGCAGCCCAGTGTACCATTTGCCTAAAAGCAAAGAACCAAAAAAAAAACATTTTATTGTTGCATATGCAGTGGTGAAAACCTGTTTACCCACTTTTCATGCTGGCAAGGAATCAAAGAAGAACAAAGCGTCTGATGCACAAAAGGCAGGTGAACAAGGAAAGCATCTTAATTGACATTTACAGTCTCACAGGTATCATTTCAGCCTGTCCTGTGACTGAAACACACCTACATTTCCTCTGTGTATACACCAAACACTTCAGTTACGACACAGCAGACATATGTGGGTGTTGACAATGTCCTCAAGGTATTCTCAAGTTTAAGATGTGCATTTTTTGTTTTGTTTCCCTGCACAACTCAGTGGACTCAATGACTGAGAGAACAGCTCTTTTCAAAGTCTGATAACTGCACAGATAAATAGCAAGTCGTGTCTATGGCTCAAATTGGAAACTTGAAATGACAAACTGAGGCTCAAATAAACAGCATTCACTGATATTAGCTAGTTATTTAACATTCTGAATACCCTTGTCTGTGTATTTGATATGCTAGCAGCAGGTGAGCTAGGGTTGTCAGGGAAATCCAGGCTACTTATGTTTTCTCTGATGAAATATTCTGAGATATTTAGCTGATGCATTTTGACTAAAATTAGTTTACTAACAATGTTTAACATTAATTTCTGGGCACAAATAAGTTTTTAATGATAAATTACAGTCATTTTTTGGCCAATTTTAAAATACTTTTAATAGTTTGCATGAATGCAACAGCTCTTGATCATGCTGATTACATTACTCAAAGAGACAGCTGACATTGTGTTTTTTTGTCTAGTGTGTCACGGTCTCAAAGCTTGTTGAAAAGTGAACAGATGCCCAAATACTTGTGCAGGCAAATACAAAACATGCATCTTGAATGATTGAGCTGTTCAGAAATGACTAAAAAGTATGAAATGTCATAAAAACAATAATGATACAGAAAAACTGGCATTTTCAATAATGCATGACAACTGACTCACTGGGTGTGCGGCTTTGCTTTCTAACTGAGCAAGTGCAAAAAAAATAACGTAAAACCAGAAGACAGGCGGCAAAGTCCAGTAATAACATGTAAACGTGTGTGCAAATTCCATGAGAGGTGGAATATTTACTGACTAGCTGAGCTGCTTTGATTGTATTTTCAACGGCGTGCTGTATTCCTACTGTAAGCTCAGTCATGTCGATGTGAGCGGAGTTCATTGATGCAGCAATGTCACTCATCAGGGCCAGGATGGGTGTCTGCAGGCTTAGCATCATCTCTGAAAAAAGAAAAAAAGAAAACAGGAACAAAAATGACTGACTCATCTGTCTGCATGCTTATTGTCTTGCGCCCAACATTAGGCTGGAACCGATGTTTCATTGTGTCACAGAGATTGTAAGCACTGGGATTGTTTACTCAAAGTGTCTGACAATGAGATTATTTTGTTCGATGAGCCGTGGGAGTGTCCTCCTCAAGCGAAAATGCCCAACAAACAAATAAGTAGACTCTCAGTAGAAGGCGTAGAGTATCAAAAACTTCAAATATTGAATTGAGAATTGAGATACAGGTTAAGTGTGACAACTGATCCTAATTACTAAAAATACAGCTTCACTTTCATATTTGACTGCATGAAATTTTAAGGAATAGTCCAGGGAGTATTTTAAAATATTTACATTATTACAAAGCAGAAAGGAACTGTTCAAATTAGGTATTAAAACTGCTCAGAATCATACTTTATTTCAGTTAAAACCGCAATAAATTTCCCTAAATTGGATTACAGATTAGAAACATCCTGAAAATAACCCAGACAATACTCTAGACCAGGGGTATTTATTTCTGGTCATGGAGGGCTGGCATCCAGCACGTTTTAGTGGTTTCTCTGCTCCAACACACTAGATTCAGTGGTTGAATCACCTGTGCAGCAGCTCATCAGGCTCTGCAGAAGCCTGTTAATCATCTGCTGATTGAAATCAGGTGTTGAAACAGAGTTGAAGCTAAACCGTGCTGTATACTGGCCCTCCAGGACCGGCATTGAATAGCCCTGCTCTGGACCAAGCATGTCCAAAGTGAGGTCCTCTGAGTGGCGTTTTGCAGCACCCACTGGCATTTTTAGAATGGTCTTTCCAGAAGGCTTCTGAAGTAGATTGACACTTATGAACTCTTTTATGTTCCAATTTTTACTATGTCTATTTTATGCCTTTTGAGCAGTCCAAATAAATTTAAAAAAAAAACACAAAAAGTAAGGTTTTACATTTTTAAATTAAAAACTGTAACACTATACAACAAGGGTCTCTTTATTAACATTACTTAGTGCATTATTAAACATTAATTAACTATTAAATAAACTACTTAACCATATTATGTAATGCATGACTAAGCAGACCCCATTATTAAGCATTTATTAATGCTTAATAATGCACTAAGTAGTATTATTAAAGGGACCCTTTTATTAAAGTGTTACAAAAAAATCACATTTCAACTTGATGAATTTGGCCCTCGTCTTAAAATTTTGGACACCCCTGTTCTAGACATGAATCTAGCACGTGTCTCTTCACAGTAGTTTGAAATAATTAAAGGCAATTTTATCAAAAATGGGTTTCGTTGTAGAACATTTTAAACATGCTCTTTGCACTGTTTAACAAAACCAGAACATATTGTGCAACAATTAGTGTATTTCACTTACTGTGACAGAGAGATAGCTACTTATATCAGTGTTATTTTAGTCAGTCTCACAGCAAAATCATGCAAAGCAAACTTTGGTTTAAGGCCAACTGCTGTAGTTACAAGAAGTAAATACATATTTAGTTTCATGAAAACAAGGAAGTTTATTATTGCCCGTCAGAGCCTTGAGGCAGGGCTGTGCTCTCTTCTACTTTCAGAGAATGGCGCACTCTGCCCCGTATCTCCTTCCCTGTAGCACTGCAGATCTGATTCTTCTGCTTTACCGAGCAGAGTTCCCCCTGTTAGACAACCTTTTGTTGTTATGGCTTTTTAGTTTATTTCTTACCAATCTGTGCTTGCACATTCTTCTCTGTGATACCAATGATTTTTTCCAACTGAGACATCACAGATGCGATGTAGCTCCATTCTTCTTGTCCTTCCACACTTGACAGGAGAGCAGCCAGCATCTGTTTGAGGCTGCAACAAAACACAATCCATTTCATTTTAGGAAATCGTAGAAATGAACAGGAGTGTTTATTTCAGACTGAACTAAACATGATTAGGTGCCATGTGTTTGCTAGTGTGTGATTTACCTATACTACATTACATCAGTTCACTTACTTGTCCCATGTTTCTTGGTTTGCCGTCCCAGTCGTCAGCTGCTCTATAACCAAAGCAAGATTAGGAAATCCAGTGCCAGATCCTGTGCCTCCCATTAAAAGTTGGATGGACGTGCTCAAAAAGCTGCCCTGTTAACAATTACGAGAAAAAAAAGTTTGATCTTTATATAAGCTGAATTTTGACAAATCTACATAAAACATGCTCAAATGTGCATAAACTTTACCAGGCCTGGGATTTGTGACAGAATTCCTTGCAATGAATCCACATATCCTCCAGAAATGTTCATGTTGCCTGCAGTAAAAAAAAAAAAAAACACAATTGTTTCAGTTTTTCATAACTAACATGCTAACCCAAATGTTTGCACAAGTTAAACCTGCATTTGTCTCATTAGATTTCATCAGAAGTTATCAAGATGAAAATGACTGGACTTGCAGTATAGCGGAGGGGGGAGCGACAGGGTAATTCACCAGCTCCCAGTGGATCTGACACCCCCCCCCCCCCCCCCCCCCCATCAGGATTTAACCATTGCAAAGTTGTCAAAATAGCATGAAAGGGGGAAATGAAAGAAAAACAAGAGGAAACGTTCAAGTTGACGCTCAAGAGGACGTTTCGTTTCAGAGGGAAAGCGAAGACTGCAAAGTAGATGCTGGCGAACTAGCCGACTACGAGAACATGGAGGCTATGAAAGCTAGCACAATTGGCAAAATTATAGAAGTACGCACAGACGTGGAAAAATAGAAGTTACCAAAGCAACGGGACTACTCAGAAGAGAACTTTCAAACTTCAGAGAAGAGATCAACGAGAAACTCAATGCTATCAACACGGAGTTGAAAGAAATGGCTCAAAGGGTTGAGGAGACTGAACGGAGAGTGTCTGAAGTGGAAGAATTTAACGATGATGTAAAAGACGTGCTCTCCCACACACTTGAACTACAGGAGATCTTCATGCACAGCTAATACATTTGGAGGCACGTTCACAAAGAAACAATATACGTATCCATGGTATACTGGAGGGCGCAGAAGGAAATAATATGCTGGAATTTATCGATATTTTCATTGAGACGGAGCTGGCTCTCCCTGACACTCCGCTCGGAATACAAACATGCCACCGCTTGTTAGGTCCCAAGCCTCCGCAGGACTCCAACCCAAAATCTGTTGTTATATACTTCCTCAAGTTTAACGCTAAAGAGCTTGTTCTTCGGTCCGCCTGGACAAAGAAAGACATTCAGTACAAAGGAAGATGAGTGTTCTTCGAGCAAGACTACATCAGCGACACCATGGCTAAGAGAAAAGCGTACGCCTCCATTAGAAGAGCGTTAAAAGAAAAAGACCTTCACTTCCAGACACTCCATCTGGCGCACCTATGAGTCCATCTCAGCACCAGATCGCTAATCTACAATGACGCACAGGAAGCTGCAGCTGATCTGAAGAGGAGTAATCGACCTGGGAAGCCCTGACCCCGCAGCAAAACCGACTGAGACAAGGATGAAACAACCTCATTGGGAAGCTGCAGACGTGTCGCACCGCACCCGAGAGATGAGATTGAAAAAATTAAAGGAGTTCCGACGCGAGGCGAATACCACCTGAGGACATCCTCTGCACAACCACCAGAGAGACTTTATGATTAACACAAACTTTCCTCATCTATGTTAGAAATCACGGCCCTTTTACTGGACAACCGTCGCTTGTTCTTTGCCTCATGCGCGCTGGCACTGCTCGGGTTAAAGTAACTCGGAGACCCCAGCCCGCATTGCGAGGGGCACCCTTGATTTCAAGGGACTCCCCTCTCAATGTAGAAGTGAGTATTGCACTTCACATTTGGAGGCCATCTTTGTTGTGGTATGTTCCCACTTGTTCTGCTTGTTCTGATTGTTTTTTAGTGTATAGACCGACACGATTTTATGTTGACTTGGGCCATCTCTACTGTTTAAACCTCGGTAATAATTTGTGTTCCTTTGAAGAAAAAAATGATTAAACAGACATACAAGTTTATTACCCTTAACTCGAATGGTTTGCATAACCCTATAAAACGAAGTAAAGTCATAGCTAAAATGAAGCGTGAAAGACAGGATGTAATATTTTGGCAAGACTCATCTTTCAAATATTGAGCATGAAAAAATTAAGAAACTGGGGTTTAAACACTCGTATCTCTCCTCATCAAGAAAGGTAATGCAAGAGGAGTAGCAATCGTTATTTCCAATAATGTGAATTTCCAATTCTCCTTCCAAATTAGTGACAACGAAGGACGCTACGTAATGACCATAAAGACGTTACATTGCTTAACATCTATAGACCGCCAGGAAGTGGCAGACAACTGATTAAAAAGGTTTTTGCCTTAATATGCTCAGAAACTTCTGAGGTGTTGACATGTGGGGGTGACTGGAATATTCACCTTAACCCATCGTTAGACTCCTCAGCGGGAACAAAACGTTAAAAAATGCTCAAAGAATTAGGCGTGATAAACACATGGAGAGATCTTCATTCGAGTAAAAGATGCGTTACCCTTGTTTCCCATTCAATGTTTTCTAGACTGGATTATTTTTCATGCTTAACTCAGACAGACACAGGGTCATTGAATGTGACACAGGAGTCAGAGACATTTCTGATCATGCTGGTGTTTACCTGTCATTACATTTAGACATAAAACATAAACATACCCTTTGGAGACTTAATTCTAGTTATCTTAATGAAACTCAGTTCCATACATTTGTAGAAGAGGAACTTCAAAATTACATGAGCCACAATGACAATGGAGACATTTCACCTGGTGTGTTATGGGATGCTGCTAAGGCAGTTCTTAGAGGCAAACTAATAATGTGGTCATCTATTAGGAAGAAAGAAAAAGAGAAAAATATTCAAGATCTGGTTACGATACTTAAATGTTTAGAAGACGAACACGTGAAAAATAATAATGAAGATACTTTGAAACAGGTACTTTACACAAGACAGACCCTCAATGAAATAGATGAGAACCAAATAGAAGTGAGCCAAGTTTGTTAAGCAAACCTACTATGAAAACGGTCCCAGAGCCCACAAACTTCTTGCTTGGAGGACACGCAAGCAGCAGGCCGACAGATACATACACAAGATAAAGAACCCACAGACTAATAAGACCCAATACAACCTGAAAGATATACAAAAGTCATTTGTAGCTGATTATTCAAATCTATACGACCAGCCCCCTGCAGCAGAGTTAACAACTGTAGATCATTTTCTTGCCTCTCTAGATTTACCTTCAGTTGGAACAGGACAAAATAGGACACTTACATGACAAACAACAGCGGACAAAATTAACAAAACTCTATCAAAATTGAAGGGGAATAAAATGTCAGGTTCGGATGGTTTCCCTTCAGACTAGTACAAAGTTTTTGGACATATTATTACACCGCTACTGAAATCCTGCTTTAACTATATCCTGGGTGGCGGCGCAATACCAGTATCATGGAGACAAGCGCTCATCTCAGTATTACCAAAGTCTGGAAAGGACAAAACTGAATGTAGCTCCTACAGACCCATTTCAGTACTAAATATCGATTATAGAATATTTGTGACAATACTGGCCAAGTGAAAATATAATCCCTGAATTTATAGACACCGATCATACAGGATTCGTAAAGAATAGACAAACTCATGACAACGTACGATGGACACTTCATCACATCAATCATATGAAAAACATAAGAGTCAGTAGTTCTTAGCCTTGATGCTGAAAAGGCTTTTGACTCTGTTAGATGGGAGTTTTTGTATTCAGTTCTAAAACATTTTGGTTTTAATACTCAGTTGATCAACTGTCTTGAGATCCTTGTATGACTCTCCTACAGCCAGGATAAAAGTGAATGGGGACCTGTCAGACTCAGTTTCTCTTAAAAAGGATGCAGACAGGGCTGCCCTCCTAGCCCAGCTCTTTTCGCATTGTTTATCGAACCTCTGGCACAGGCCATCCGAGAATGCGAGGAAGTTGCAGGTGTCACTATTTACGGCGCAGAGTATAAGGTGTGTCTTTATGCAGCTGATGTTCTGGTGACCCTTACGAAACCTGATACTAGCCTACTTACACTATTATCTTTGCTTAATACATTTGGCTCGTATTCTGGTTCCAAATGAAACCTTCACAAAACTCAAATTCTTACTTTTAATTATAAACCAAACAAACATTAATAAACTCCTAAAGGGTAATTAGAATGAAAATGTAATTAAATATTTAGGGGTCTAATGCCCAAAGAATTAACTGACATTTGTAAACTTAACTATACCACCTTAACAGTTAACATTAAATCAGATCTGGACCAATGGGTGTT